ATGATGTTACGTTACATTACATTGCATTGCGTTACATAGGTTAGATACATTACACACATTACATACGTTAAATGCCATACATTCCATACATTACATACATTACATTCACTACATTCATTACATACATTACATACATTACATACATTACATACATTGCATAAACTACATACCTACATACGTGCATGCATGCATGCATACATACGTACAGACATACATACTTATATCATGGCGTGACCCACTTAGTCCAAGGCAATCTCTGAGCCGAAGTGCTTTTTTGTGGCCTCTCATTTTGCCAGACCTGTCGTCATACTTGTGACCGCTTTGTATAAATTGTACCTAGCTCTGTCCTCGGTTGGTGGAAGTGCTGCATGGGTGTATCTCACATGCGAGCTACCTGGGGCGTGAATTCCATCGTTCAAGATGGATGTATGCAGCCAGAAGGAGATCTCTTTGATGCTCATTGTTTCACCTCCAGTCCCATACATACATACATACATACATACATACATACATACATACATACATACATACACACACATACATACATACATACATACATACATACATACATACATACATACATACATACATACATACATACATACATACATACATACATACATACATACATACATACATACATACATACATACATACATACATACATACATACATACATACATACATACATACATACATACATACAGACATACATACATACATACATACATACATACATACATACATACATACATACATACATACATACATACATACATACATACATATACACATACATACAGACAGACGGACAGACAGACGGACCGACAGACAGACAGACGGACAGACAGACATACATACATACATACATACATACATACATACATACATACATACATACATACATACATACATACATACATACATACACACATACATACATACATACATACATACATACATGCATGCATGCATGCATCCGTGCGTACGTACATACATACAGACAGACAGACAAAAGTAGTTTTGTGACACACCCATACCATCGCTCCTTTTGCTTGGCGGGGGACTTTTTGTCCGCTTGGTTCCAACTCTGCCCATCCAACACCATCACGTCCCGAGGATTGGCAGGGCGGGGAACCTTTGGCTGCGCCCTCCGCTTCGTGGCTGCTCCCGGCCTCGGACAGCGTCGCCATGGAGATCGCGGAGCGTCGGGCAGATCTGCGGGAGGCCACGGGTGTCGGCGCCACCACATTGTCCCCAAAAGGGAAACTGATTCCTGCGGTTCAAGCCTAGTCAGAGCAAGCACCCGCCCGAAGAGCACGCGGTCTACATTTGCTTTTTCGTAGTTCCTGCAGTTTTGGACAGCCATACGGTACTGGGCCCCTTAAAGTGGTCCTATTTTGAGTGGTTCTCGGCATTGGCTTTGGCAGGTGGTTTCCCTTTATGTCATTCAGAGGGTAATGCTGAGGATGTGACTTGAAAGGATCGAGGAAGGATGTAGGGGCGAAGACCTCATTCAAAGTAGGGCCTCATTTAGAGTCTCGAGCTCCTGGGTGTGGCTTTAATTACATTTAGCGACGTCAAGACGGTCTCAACTGCAAATCAGAAGACAGCTGCAAGGAAATCAATAATTTGCAAGGGCCCTCATTTTGATCTTTGTCAGATCGCGTGCCGCTTGGGCCTTTTTCAGCCTTTCAAGCGAAATTGCTGCAGGCAAAGAGAAGTTCTCGGTGAACGAACTGTGGCGTTTCAGTTTCACGTTTGTTCGGGGTGGAGTGGCTGCATGTGAGCCCCGTAGGCGGGCTGGAAAGTGCTGTCTTGCTGCCCGCGCACTCTTGGCAAGCTGGATGACAAGGCGCTGGGTGGCTGTGTGCAACCGGAGCTGTAGTGGGAACCTTAGAGGATTCTAGCTAGTCCCCCAGATAGCTGAAAGTCATGGCGTTCTTACTTCAAGCCAGCCCGGTGCAAGCAGGTGCTGGTGTAGAGATTTGGTGCTGCTGACCCTCTTTTTGTGCGCGTCACCAGCCTGTGTTTCCTTTTCCTTGGTGGATTGTGGTGTGCAAGGCATGGTGCCGCAAGAGGGGATGACTGTCCTCCTTTTTTGCAGTGGTTTAAGTTTCCCTTTGGCATGTGTTTGCCAGTTCTCCGCATTTTTCAGGGCACCCTTGTCATTCGCAAGGGAAGCCAAAGGGAACCAAGCCTTTCGACACGGCCGCTCGAGGTGGAGCTCACCCGCCTTGCCGTGGAGCTGGGCCTCCAAGAGCACTTCCCGGAGCGCTATACGGCGCCGGAGGGGGCGACGTATCCCTGCGCCTGGGACTTCAAGGGATTTGCGTGGCAAGTTTGTGACAGCAACACCGGGGCACGTTTCTGCCTCGACGTCTATGGGGTCCTAGCCATTGAATTTTGCTGGGTGTGGGACATGTTGAGGAGACTCCGCATTCGTTTGGGATTGCACTCCTTGTCAGATGTGGATATCCATGTGCCCTGCGTTTTTTGTGTTACAGTGTGGGGTTACACATTCTGACTTGCAACATCGTATTTGACAAGTCCACAATATAGACTTCGCGTGGGCGAGTCGTAGGTGCTCTTTGACTGCCAATCAGAGCCATGCGACAAGCAAGCATAGCCTGGCCCTTTTGCTGACATCCCCAGGGCTTAAAAAGCCAGCATGGCTGTCTTCAAAATGCTCCGACGGGCCCTGTTGGAACCATTCCATTGCGAAAGCCTTGCCCCCAAAGACACAGCTGACGTTCATCCCAGGCCTGAATGCCAGAATGCCAGCCGCAGGAGATTCCACTGTAAATTTGCCACACACCAGGAAAGGCGCCAAGATGCCGGGAAATTCGCCGGAACTCCAATTGACCAAACTTGGGGAAGGTTTCTTGTAGCCGTCCTTGGCGTAGACTGAGGCATTTTGAAGCCCGCGGCCGGGGAGTTTGGCAGCGGGGTGGAGATCGTCCACTCCCCTGAAGAGGTGCGGCGGACCTGCGGCGAGCTCTCGGCCCAGTGGCTGCTGCAGGAGCTGGTCCCAGGTGATGAGGGAAACGAGCGGGGGGGCGATGGGGGGGATGGTGGACACCAACTTACGATCTATTTTGCAACCCTTTTGTTTAGGTATACGCTTCTTATTGGGTTGGGGCTTGCAAACTAGCCTTTAATTGTTTAGAGCGGGGGGCGGGGGGTTTTAAGCCTGGGTGAAAAGGGTGCTCTCAAAGAAACAAAGCGTGCAATATGACCGTACATATGATGACCGTTACGGGGGGAAAAAACACAAAAGAAAAGCACTGATGGAAAAGTCCCTAGATGTCCACTTTTAAATGTTGACCCCGGATTTGAGCAGATTAATAGGGGCTGGGATCCTCCGAAAGTGGACCAGCCAGAAGATTATGAATCCTGATTAAATTTAAGTCCAGCTTATACATCACTTTTTGGCGGCCAAGTTTTGTAAGGGGTTCGAAGCCTTGTGTTGCCTGAAGGTTTCCTGTTGCGGTTCAGGCTCGGTATCCTCATTTCAATGGGAACGACATATGACCTCTCCCTCCCAATAGCCACATGGAACTTGTCAGTTTTGCCAGCAACGATCTCACCTTGAGATCGCTCCTTGGAAATTTAGTTGAGGTCTTAGCTCCCTGCTGTGTTTTGCAGGACAGATAGTTGGAAGGAAGGCTTTCTCATGAAGGAACGCGACAGGCAACTATAGCCACTTTTGCCCTACAAAGCTTTTGCACTGCCCACATGTTGACAGGTTGCTTCGAGTTTTCTACATCCCTGCTGGTTTGCAAGGGCGAGATCATGGAGGAAGCGCCTTCGGCAAGCATTTCTAAATTTTAGAAATTCAGTCAGCTGGGGAACTCCGATTTGGGCTGTAGCTTCATGACTGCAGCTGAAGCACGGGTGGAATTCCTGAGACACGTGAGGCGTGCATGCGCTACAGATATGACGCGGAGGTGTATGTGTGGCCCCGCGTCACGGAGCTGGGGAAGGAACTGCTGGAGGCACAGCCGGAGCACAGATTTGTCATGCAGAAGCTGGTGCAAGGTGGCGCGGCGCCAAGATACAGGTGTAGTCGAAGTAGGGTACTTCTAGGTTTGTTTGAAAGAGAAAGTGCTATACTCCCATTTCATTTTGGCACGATGAGGAAAGCAACAGCAAACAACGGGGCTTGTAAGTATGGAGTTCCAACGTCGGAGGGCTATGAGGAATCAAGGTTTTCTCGAAACATCATGTTTTGGATGACTGGGCGGAATCGACAGGTGCCAAAAGACCTGGCCGCTTGGTGATGAACAGGGTCATCAGCCCTGTACGATTCTGTACGTGTAAACCTGCTAACGGATCTTGGTTGAGGGGATGACCATGGGCCAGTTGGACCAATGACTGGCGCACACGTGACGCATTGGCAATGCAGCCGTCAACTTGTCCGCTGGCAACAGTGGTGACCCCTCCGCACGCCACAAAAACACGGTGCCAGGTATGGTTCATGGCCATTTGAGTTCACCCACGAAGTATGGACATGCCCCCTTAAAGTAAATCAATCAAAGTAAAAGACATTGTGAAACAAGCTTGAAACGGAGCTAAACAAATAAAGAGGCAGACATACCTACGTGCATACATACCTGTGCGCATGTGTATATCAATATGTATACGGCATGCATTCATAATATGCAAGCGGCCCCCGAAAAAGCTGAGGATATTCTGGCTTCATAAACTTCAACTACAAGCTGCGGCCAGATGGGCAGATGTGCATCATGGAGGCGAATGCACGGATCGGGGCGGATCTGGCCTGCGATGTGCCACGGCCACATGCTCGCCGCATGTTCCAAGCACTCGAGCGCCTGGAGTGAACGTTGAAAAAAGGGGCTTGTTCTTGGGTGCAGCGATGGCGAAGCAGGATGAAGCTGCCAGAAAAGGCTTTACGAACCCTTGCGGGGGTGGCTTTGGTTTTCTTTGCTGCCGAGAAAGGACAGGCGCGCGCAATGGCGAGCATGGATGAAGCCCAGGCCCTCTCAAGCGCTGAACCCTGACCGCTGGAACCTCTTTCTGGAGGCCTTTGGGGACGTCTCGCCGCTTGGCTCATTGCCCACGCGCTGGATGCAAGCAGTTGCTGACCGTTTTGTCATATTTTCGGAGCGGAATAACTTGATAAGAAGCCGAGGCTGTACTGCTCAGTTCCTGTTTCTTTCCTTGCCAAGCGGCGCCGACCTTGCCCCGCCCAGGAAACAGTCGAAGAAGGGCTTGACGCGGTTCATGAAGGCCCGGGCCCGGCCTGCCAAAGCCACGTTGGGTCCGTGCCCATATCCCCACCCCCATCATTGGAAGCCAAACGCTTGGCGGGAACAAATGGCGTTTTTCTTGTGGGGCCGGCCCACGTCTCTCCCAACACGTCGTGACGCGTCTTGTGCCAGGCGTTGCACGCAGTCATTGAAACTGGCGAAGCGCTTCCTGCCACTCGGCTGAGTGCAACACCACTGCATTTGGGGTTGTTTGGAGTTGTGGACGCTCGGCAACATGAAGCCAACCAAGCTGAAAGCTAACCCCTAAAAAGCTGTCATGGCAGTTTGCTTGGGCCACGGCCCAAGCCCAAGGGACATGCCTCAGGTCTGGCGCCACAAGAAAGACCGGGGCTTGAAGGCCCTCACTGAGCCGGGCGCCCAGCTGACTGAGCCGCCGAAGGCTTCGCGGGAACAGTCTCCTTCGAGGGTACCCCTGCGATAATTTCAAGGGGAAGCCCCAAGGGGAAAGGCAAATTTCGAGGGTTCCCCTATTAGACACTAAACAAAAAGTGTGTTACCACGGCTTGCAGGCTTTTCCACAGTAAGAATCAAGACTGAACTATCAAAATGACAATGACACGGATACCACTGCGAGGATGTTGGTGGGTCAATACCAGTCGGGACAAGAGTTTGCCCAGGCCGATCCCGCTGAAGCTTCGGCACATGGGCCCGGCCCTGAGACCCTGAGACCCTGAGACTCTGAGACTCTGAGAGCAGGCTGGAGAAAAACAAAAACCAGCCGGTTAAAAGGGTGCCGTTTGGAATAAGAACGCGACCAAGGCCAGCCGCCTGGCCTGAACATCTCGGCCCGGCAGCCGCGCTTGGAATTGCCTCAGTCCACGGGCGCGCCTCCAGTGGATAGCCAGGTGGCGGCAGAGCCTTTGGTCCAACTGGCTGACCTCGTGCGCTTCCTGGCCAAGGAGGGGGTGGATTTGCCCAACGCGGGCGACGCGCCCTCTTGCCTAGGGATGTGAAGAGCTCCCCAAAACAACTTGGACCCTTTTAACTTGCTCCAGCAAGCAGCTAGTACTCGTTAGCCTTGTCGGAGTGTTAGCCCTTTGCCTTTTTTTGCGCAGCCGGCAGGTGACCCCATGCACAGACGAAGCCTACTTGCAGTTCTGCCATAAGCTGGTCGGCCCGAGCTCTCAGGGCGCAGCCAAATGTGCACGGCAACTTGTGGGACGTGTTGGTCCGTCCGGCTCAGGCCATAGGATACGGGACCACCTCACGGACAAGGAGTATGAGGCTCGATGCTGGCTGCGGGGATGCGTTGGAGGCGCGCACTCACTCAGGTGCAGTCCTTCGACATCTTCAGGGGCATTCCGATTCCGGCCGCGAGCTCACGCATGCCATGGATTCAACTCAGATATTCTTCCGAAATAAGAGGAACTGACTGGGGATGCGGTTTTGGGGTGCGTAGCGCCGCGCTTCGCAGCTGGGCCACGCGGGTCCCAATCAGAGGTCCACACCGTGACGGCTGGAGAAAGCACAGAGCAGGGAGCCTCAAGGGAGCAGCACAGGCCGGTGGTTTGGCTTGTTTGCGCAAAAAATGGCCTCAACGGAGATGCTTGCTGCCTGAAACAGACACTAGAAGGTTCAGGGTGAAGAAATCAGTGTTTCTAGTTTTGGTGGCCAGCTGCCCACTTGTTTCAATCCGCACTCCTCCAACAAGCGCACGACAAACGGTCATCCTGAGCAGCCTTCGGACGCCGCGGAGTTGTCAGAAAGCCTGGCTGAGGTGCTGGATCCTGGCGAGCCGCGCCTACTCCGTGCTCTCCTTGGCAGAGGAGGTCCCGCATTTGGAGCTCAAAGTGGCAGGGCTCTCAGCTCCTTTCAGCCGCAAGTTTTGGCTCATGATGCGGCGATCTTTTATTTTTGTTGTCAAAGTCGGTTTTGGAGGCCCTTGCCTACTTATCAGCAAACAACAACCAGGGGCCATGGCCTTTCCTGGCAGAAGTCAAACGTTATAGCGTCCCTCTTGAGGGGCATCCTGCAGCTGATGTAAGTTTTTGGCCAAACTTGATTGTTACAGTTAGGTGAAAGAAAACTTGCACAATTCTGGTTTTCGGTTTAGTAATCCTATCTACTCCGAAAGGCCCAAGCCCGAGAAACCTAGGGGTCCCTCCTTACTGGCCGGTTTTGAGGCGTTGAACCAGCTGCAAGCTGTGACCAAAGCAGAGGAGTACTCCACCGCCTTGGTGCGCTGCCTGGTTGAAGTCCTGAAGTTATACACCTTGACAAGAAGCCCGACACTAGCAAACGCATAGCTTATAGCGGACAAGTCATGGGAATTCGTTCGTGGCTCCTTTGTTTGGTGTACGCTTCGCTGCTTTGGAGCGCCAGCAACGTGCTACACACAGTTGTTCATGATTTGGGACTGCACTGCGCATGATCTGGCTTGGGCGCATGCCACCTGCGCCCTTATACCTTGAATCGTGACGACGCTGCATGGACACAGCTTGAGTGCAGTAGACGAACACGCGCAACGCCGACGCAGGCAGAAACACACATGTGAGGCGTGCGTTTGACCATTTTGACCTTTTGTTGCAGGTCAGGCTCACCACTCCGTGTGCATGGTGCCAGGAACGGCTGCGTCAGCGCATCAACGGGGAGCCAGAGGCGTGACCCAGCGCAATCAGGTGGAGTGTGCATGGAATGCGGGGAATCAGCAAAGTGGCTCCCCCGCACGTAAACTCTGGAAGCCACAAAAGGCACTCCCCCTCAAAAGCGGTTCCTCTGGAAGTGATGGTTGTTGGACCACATCTGAACTTGCAGTTTGACATCCTCCGCCCGCAGGCGCCCAGCGAGCGGTCGGAAGAGTACTGGCCTCGGTGTGGCCCTCGGTCTTTGGCGCTTCTCCATTTCCAGTGCGTACGGAAAACTTGGGAACGGATGTTTCTCTTTGTTTTCCTTGAAAAAGTAGCCCTACAAAAGGGTGCCCCCCCCCGAAGAAAAAAGAACAAGACACCTCGGCTTTGCGCACTTTGAAGGGAGCGTTTGGCCAAATCCGCGCTCCAAAGTCAAGAAGCCAAACTGCCAGGTTCGAGCAGGCCTTGGCCAAGGCGCGGCAAAAGGGTGGTGGTAGAGTGAAGTGGTCGGTTTGTGCACTTGTCTAGCCTGCTCTTAGCTTTTGATCGCTGCGCTTGGCTCGCGAGCCCTGCAAAGAGCCCTGACGTTGTACCCATTGTTCTTTTTTGTTTGTTTGTTTGTTGTTTGTTTGTTTGTTGTTTGTTTGTTTGTTTAATTTAATTAGTTCTATTTTTATTTTGTGTGGGTGACTGCGCGTTTGTGTGCAACTGTGTGCGTTTGTGTGCGTCTGTGTGCGTCTGTGTGCGTCTGTGTGCGTCTGTGTGCGTCTGTGTGCGTCTGTGTGCGTCTGAGCGGGCGGGCGGGCGGGCGGGCGGCGTGCTTGCGGCGCGCGCGCGGGGGCGAGTGGGTGCGTGGGAGTACGTGTGGGTACGTGTGGGTGCGTGTGGGTGCGTGTGGGTGCGTGTGGGTGCGTGTGGGTGCGTGTGGGTGCGTGTGTGTGTGTGTGTGTGTGTGTGTGTGTGTGTGTGTGTGTGTGTGTGTGTGTGTGCGTGCGTGCGTGCGTGCGTGCGTGTGCGTGCGTGCGTGCGTGCGTGCGTGCGTGCGTGCATGCGTGCGTGCGTGCGTGCGTGTGTGTGTGTGTGTGGGTGCGTGCGTGTGTGTGTGCGTGCGTGCGTGCGTGTGCGTCTGTGTGTGTGTGTGTGTGGCGTGTGGTGTGTCTGTGTCTGCGTCTGCGTCTGCGTCTGCGTCTGCGTCAGCGTCTGCGTCTGCGTCTGCGTCTGCGTCTGCGTCTGCGTCTGCGTCTGCGTCTGCGTCTGCGTCTGCGTCTCTGCGTCTGCGTCTGCGTCTGCGTCTGCGTCTGCGTCTGCGTCTGCGTCTGCGTCTGCGTCTGCGTCTGCGTCTGCGTCTGCGTCCGCGTCCGTGTCCGTGTGCGTGTCCGTGTCCGTGTCCGTGTCCGTGTCCGTGTCCGTGTCCGTGTCCGTGTCCGTGTCCGTGTCCGTGTCCGTGTCCGTTTGTGCAAAATCCGGAGGGCTTTCAACAAAACTATTTTGCCCATTGCTTCTTTACTTCCACCAATGAGGCCCTAAGAAAGCCAAGGGGCCACTGGAGACGGCCCTTTGAGCGCCAAATCTTCGCGAGCTTCGATTCTCGCAAGGCGGCCAGCGTGGGGCCAGAGGCCCTGGCGCTGCTGGAGCCCAGCGTCAGCACCCAGGCCAGTGGTGAGGCTGGTGGTATCCAGGCCCCCAATTTGCTTTAGTGAATGTATGGGGGTTCTGAAAATAGTGGGCCCCTACAATGGTTGGTCTCCTTCCAGTTTTCCTAGAAATGCCGAAAGACAGGGGGTCCACCATTTCGAGAAATAGTGCCTGTGCCCTCCAACGTGGATGGGTAAGCAAGTAAATCATGCTCCGGATGGCAAATCCAACGATGCCGGCTTTCCTGTAACGTGGTCCAAACATGAACTTCTAATGTTGCCACATATGGGTGTTTCTGCAGATGTGTTGCGAGGCTGCAGCGGCAGCCGAGGACCCTGAGGCCTCAGTGTGGTTCCTGGATGCGGTTGCCTTTGGGAGATATGGCTGTGCCTTTTAGGTATTTGTTCAAGGGTTTTTGACGGCAAATCAAAAGGCAGCAACCCTGAAGACTCTTATCACCAATGTCAATGCGCTTGTGTCCAGCAGGAGACGTTTTGCGTTTTGTTTGCATGCAGGGTTGAAGATGTCCAAAGATGTCCATGGACATGTCGACTGTGCTTCGAACAACTTGGCCGCGAACCTTTGACTCTCTCGGAATAGTTGTTTCGCCACCAGCCAGCCAACAAAGCACGCACTTGCTTCGGCACCAGGTAGGTACGCAGAACCCGTCCCTCTAATTCCCCCGGATTTTGTGAGAGCTAAGGATTCCGTCGACCCGTCCATGAGAGCAGGGAGCTGAGATGTACGAGGCTGCTTGAGTCTCGATAGGGCGCACACTGGTGGTTCAAAGCGAAATCAGGATCAAACGAAACCCACATATATTCGGGGCTCCCTCTGTTTTGACACAAGAGCACTCGTTCGGAGGGGCCCCAGTTTTGGCACATACCTGCCTTGATTCCAAGGAATGATACGCCAACAGAGGACATTGTGAGAATGTGGCTGTTTGGGAAACCGCAGGTCAACCGCCCAGACCACACATCCTTCCTTGGCTCCTTGATTCCCATTTCCAAACCAAGTCACATTTCAGAAAGCACACTTGGCCGTTTCAAGCTCCGGCATTGGGCCAACGCTGAAGGTCCATACCGTCATGATTGCCCCGCGCTTGGGACTGGCGCTGGATTCCGGGGCTGCTGTGGGTGTGGGGAGCCCACAGGAAAACGACACATTTTTAGGAATCTCGGAATGCCCCTAATTTGACATACCCATGTGGACCCGGATTAGTCAACCAGGTGGATTGATGGGGTGTTTCCCCCAAAAGGTGGAGGATACCCTCTGAAATGGGTTTCAATTCCCAAATGCCCTCAGGCGGTTTCTGATGAGATCCCGTTCGAGCTGTTCTGGCCGATGGTCAAGGATGACATTGCCAGCAGCCCGGGACATTTGTTGCCGCTGGGTCAACACAGGCTTCTTGACTGGGCGATCTGGGATTCAAACTCGGAAATCCTTCCCCCTTAAAAGAGCCGTTTGAATGATGATAGCTGCCCAACATCCTTCTGTCCGCTTCCATGATTGGAAAGACTGTGAACATGACAAAGTCATGGGGCCAGCTGGGCCTCACTCGGCGATGGAGAGAGCGAGAGGGAGTTACGTATGCCAAGACCCAGCAGCCCAAAGGACTCCCGTGCAAAGAACAGGCGGGTTTGTCTCAACAAGGGGAAGCCCTGCTCAAAAAGCACGGTTTTCTTTTGGCCTCCCAACCAGCCCGCCCGACAAGGCTTCCCTCAAAACACGTTTTCAGGTGAGCTCCAGGGTTTCTTGCGCTTGGCAGCTCGCTTTGCGCTTCAAGCGCCTTTCACGCCTTCGCCTCTTAGGTGGCGGCAGTGCGGGAGCTCTGCCCTCGCGGGGCGCCGGGCATGGCGCGCCCGGCAAGTTCTGCTACCCAGGTTTGCTTTGGTGGGCTTTCCATGGCTTTCTGGGTTCCATGGGCCAAACAAGAGAAGACACTACAGAACAAACAGCTTTCCCACATGTTCCCGTTTCAATCACAGCTTGCCAGTGTTTGGTGAGTTTCCTTTGGTGGCCTGAAACGCAGAATCCCAATTCCAGATCCCTCTACAAATGCGCAGCGTGCAAACGCACTGGCGGGCATTCTGGTTGTAGTGAGGCCGTTATGAACTTTATAAACCTCTTGTAACAATGCTGGCAGAACCACAAGTGAATGGTTTCGGGTGCTGCTCAACGGGCATTCCGCGTCAAAAAAGCAAGCAGAGCCCGCCAGGAGGAGGCGGTACAGCAGGGCGTGGTGAGGAACGGCATGGGGCCCATCGCCCAGAAGCTGACGCTCCATGAGGCGGACGGCACACCTTGGCTGGTCGCAAGACAGTGTGCAAGGCCGAAAGATGCCAAAAGCTCGCCAAACCAAGCTGCAACAAGCCTCAAACCTTCCATCCGTGAACCCATCCTTCAAACAGAATCAAACCAAATTGCACCAACCTAAATCCATCCCGAACCAATCCATCCCCATCCCAAACCTAAGCCTGTCATACACCCTCCAGGACGCAAACCAGCGGAGCAGACAACAACTCCAGAAACCAAGCCAACGCAGCAAACCGTGTCAACCCCCCAGCCGATCGGGGTCCCATTCTCCGAATGCTGTGAATTGGAGCACTTTCAGCCCCGCCGGAACCAAATGCAGTTCCGATTTCGCTGTGAGGATTGAGCCACCAATATTGACCGTGATGGCAAAGGGCCTGGGCACACTCATGGGGGCGCAATGAAGGAACGGAGGGGAAGCCTTACGCAGATCCAATAGCAGTTGCGGACGTGCTATGTGGGTAGGTGTCACAAGAAGGGGACGCCCAAAATGGGCTGTTTCCTTTTAGCTTCCCTTTTGAACCTCTTCAAAAAGTAATGCACCCGTATGTTAGTTGTGACAGATTTGGGAATGTAAACAACAAGCAGGGTAAGATGGCTTGCGTCTTGGCCTGTGGAATTACAATGGGTCCTATAGCCGGCATTTCTGTCTAGCGGGAAAGTCTAGGGATCCTGCGCCTACTGTCAGCGTTCCCGGGAGGCGGAGAATTTGGCAACGCGCGTGGGCCACGTTGCCGGGGACCCTGGTAGCGCATAGCACATATGGGAGGAACATGGGGGATCACACGGCCTAGATTTCAATCACACAAGCTGGGGGCCTCACCATTTGTCTCCGTTAAGCAATATGCGCATTAGAATTTTGGAAAAGCAAACGGACAAGAACACATGCGAAAGAGGGGGAGAAGAGAGAGAGAGCGAGAGAGAGAGAGAGAGAGAGAGAGAGAGTGGCTCAGGTGCAGACGGCTGTGACAGTGGACCAGGAGGCGTTGCAGGAGTGCCCAGGGACTGCAGGAAGCGGCGATCCAGTGGCATCCGTGACTCACTGTGTGCCAGGAGGCGCAGAAGGACAAGTCCAAAACCAGCGAGACAGAGCCTGGGGTCCTGGAGTGTTAGGGTCTTGGGGTCTTGGGGTCTTCGGGCGGGTAGTTTTGGGGTGGCCCTGGGAGGGGCCAAGTTGACCAAGACGATGTTTCGCTTGCCACTTTCGAGCTTGACGTCTTGGCCAAGGACCATTCAGCTGACGAGCCGCGTCCAGTTCAGTCCCAAGGGCGACAACACCTGGATGCCAGGCCGAGGGAAACGCTGCGAATCCATGGGCGGATTGATCCCGTTTGGACCTTGCACGCAGAAAGGGCAGCAAATAGCAATCCAAGAATCCCCCCTCGCGAGGCACTGTCGTTGGCCAGCATGGCGATCGCTTTAGCCTGGTGCGGGTCCCCAAATTCGGACGAACCGGCCTTTTGTCTTGATTACGCCCACCAAGGATGGGATTCTAACAATAAACCTATCAGACTTATGAGAGATCCTGTTTGGGCAGCACCATTTGTTCATTGCCCCCACCCCTCTTTGGGCGCAGATCGCTGAGTTTCGGCATCGGGGCAGGAGGGCTTTTGAGCATTGGGAAGATAAGGTGGACGAGAAGGGCGTGCTCTACGACCAGCTGCCGCGGGCCAGGATCCGACAGCCGCCCGGGGACCTAATTGTTGTGTTGGTAGGTTTCTTATTCATGTCAAGCTTGGCGCAAGCGGGATGGGGCTGTTGCGCCCTGAGCGCTCAGGCAGGGCAAGAGGGACAGCCACGCACTCAGTTGACATTTTGCGCCGGTTTGGACCAAATGTGGCTTACCTTGAGGTGTCCAAGTCAAAAATGAGCGGATTAACGTCAGTGGGGCCTTAATTGGGGACAGGCTGCCTTTTGATTGTGTTACACAGTGTCACAGGGGGGGCCGGGGGGGCCTGGGGGGGGCCGGGCCGGGGAGGGGGGGGCGGGGGGGGGGGGCCGGGCCGGGGCGGGCCGTGCAAGCTTTTTCATAGTGATTCACGTATTGCTGTTCTTGCTGTTGTTTTTTGTGCTCTGTTCTTGGTGTTTGCGTTGTTCCTGCCGCTGCTGCTGCTGCTGCTGCTGCCGCTGCTGCTGCCGCTGGCGCTGCCGACTCCGCCGTTGCTGTTGCTGTGGCCATTGCTGTTTCTGAAGTCGTTGCTGTTGCGCTGCAGCTGTCGTTGTGGTTATTGCGGTCGTTGTGGTCATTGTTTTGGCTGTTCCTGTCTCCGGCAAGTTGTTACTTTCAGACCAAGAGAAGCGAGGAATGTTCGTTTTGACGTTTTGGCTCCCAAGACTTGCTGCAGGTATGGGCGCAGGCGGCACGCCCATGCAAGCCGTGCTGTCGCAGGCGGGGGTGAGAAATAGAGCCCCGCTTTGAGTGCGTAGGAAAAGCTTGCAGCAATTGCCCGCAAGGGAATTGCGCTGTTTGGGTGGGTGAGGCAGACCTCATGCGCATCCGGGAGCACCTCCGGCGACGGCAGGAGGAATGGGAAACTCGGCTGGATCGGAGGCTCAAGTTATGAGTTGAAACGGGGAATGCCCTCAGAAAGGACGAAGACTTGTGGATATAAGGAGAAACGCAGCAATGTCACTATGCCACGCCCTTATACAATTAACATGAATGCCCGTGCAGAAAAGTGCCTCAACCATGGCTGGTGGATGACGATTGAGGTTCGTACCCAAGTGGTTGTTTTCTGAAATGGGGGGAGAGGGGTTTGGTCTGAGTTTGCTGGGCCGACAATGCTCCTAGTTTGCGGCCAGCAGGCTAGCACTTGGAGGAAGCGAGAGAAAGAGAAAGAGAGAGAGAGAGAGAGAGACGCTGTCAGCAGGTTGTTTTGTTGCTCTTGGTTGGCCTTCCTTTGAACAAGCCAAAGCGGGATCCCATATCTTTTTGGACATCCTCAAAGGGGTGGGGATTTCGCTAACGTTGTCCAGTTTTGTGTCCGACACCCGCTTGAGCAAGCTCGTGACTTGTCTCCCCGCCACAGCAACGCACAACAGCCATGGGACAAGCACAAGCTTTGAGGGACCCCTCGTCAGTTGTGGTTTGGCTGGGGGTTGGGCCTGCGCCCAGGCAGAACGCCACGCTCAGACCGGGAATGGCCATGAGCTCACAAGGGCGTAAGCTGGTAGATCCTGACATTTGCAAAGAAGGACTACTGTTCAGGCAAGAGAAGGAAGCAATGCAGATCATTTGGTGTGTGTCTGTGTGGTATGCGTATGCTTGCAAGGGATGCCGCGACACCACTTGGAAGGCCCCCGCTCTTTCGTGTTATTTCCCGAATGCGTTTCGTGGCAAGCACGTCACTTTGACTCAGCGAGATCGCTCTCGCTGTGGCGCGGCGCACATTTTGCGAACGCGAAGCGAACCCTCTGCGCACTTTGGGTGGGTCAAATCACTCTCGCTGTGGCGCAGTGTGCATTTTGCGAACGCGAAGCGAACCCTCTGCGCACTTTGGGAGGGTCAAATCACTCTCGCTGTGGCGCAGTGTGCATTTTGCGAACGCGAAGCGAACCTTCTGCGCACTTTGGGTGGGTCAAATCGCTCTCGCGTGGCGCGGTGCGCATTCTCAGCACGCGAAGCGAACCCTCTGCGCACTTTGGGAGGGTCAAATCGCTCTCGCTGCGGCGCGGTGCGCATTTTGAGCATACGAAGTGAACCCTCTGCGCACATTGGGTGGGTCGAATCGCTCTCGCCGTGGTGCGGTGTGCGTTTTAAGCGCGCAAAGTGGACCCTCGATCTGCACACTTTGGGTGGGTCGAATCGCTCTCGCTGTGGCGCGGGGCGCATTTGGAGACAGAAGTGTCGTTCAGAAGTGCCAATCACAAGTGTCCATTAGCATTGTCGTTCAGAAGTGTCGATTAGAAGTGTCCTTCAGAAGTGTCGATCAAAAGTGTCGCTCAGAAGTATCGGTCGGAAGTGCCGACAGAAGTGTTGCTCAGAAGTGTCGATCAGAAGTGTCGAACAGAAGTGTTGCTCAGAAGTGTTGCTCAGACGTACATGTCCCTCAGAAATGTTGTCAGAAGTGTGGATCAGAAGTGTTGCTCAGAACTAGAACTGTTGATCAGATCAGAAGTGTGGATCAGAAGTATTGCTCATCAGTGTCAATCAGAAGTGTGGCTCAGCAGTGTTGCTCAAACTGTCGATCAGAAGTGTCAATCAGAAGTGCGGATCAAAATAAGGGTTGCTCAGAAGTGTCGCTCAGAAGTGTTGCTCAGAAGTGTTGCTCTGAAAAGTCGCTCAGAAAAAGTGTCGCTCAGAAGTGTTGCTCAGAAGCGTCGATCAGAATAAGTGTGGTTCAGAAGTGTTGATCAGGTGTCGCTCAAAAGTGTCGCTCAGAGAGGTGTCAATGAGAAGTGTGGGTCAGAAGTGTTGCTCGCTCGGAAGTGTCGATCATAAGTGTTGCTCAGAATTGTCGCTCAGAAGTGTCAATTCAGCAGTGTTGCTCAGAAGTGTCGTTCAGAAGTGTCGATGAGCAGTGTGGATCAGAAGTGTTGGTCAGAAGTCTTGCTCAGAACTGTCGATGAGAAGTGTGGATCAGAAGTGTTGCTCACCAGTGTCAATCAGAAGTGTGATTCAGCAGTGTTGCTCAAACTGTCGATCAGAAGTGTTAATCGGAAGTGCGGATCAAGAGTGTTGCTCAAAAGTGTCGATCAGAAGTGTTGCTCAGAAAAGTCGATCAGAAGAAGTGTTGCTCAGAAGTGTCGATCAGAATAAGTGTGGTTCAGAAGTGTTGATCAGGTGTCGCTCAAAAGTGTCGCTCAGAAGTGTCAACCAGAAGTGTTGCTCAGAAAAGTCGATCAGAAACAGTGTCGCTCAGAAGTGTTGCTCAGAAGTGTCGATCAGAAAAAGTGTGGTTCAGAAGTGTTGGTCAGGTGTCGCTCAAAAGTGTCGCTCAGAAGTGTCAATCAGAAGTGTTGCTCTGAAAAGTCGATCAGAAAAAGTGTCGCTCAGAAGTGTTGCTCAGAAGCGTCGATCAGAAAAAGTGTGGTTCAGAAGTGTTAATCAGGTGTCGCTCAAATTGTCGCTCAGAAGTGTCAATCAGAAGTGTTGCTCAGAAACGTCGATCAGAAAAAGTGTGGTTCAGAAGTGTTGATCAAGTGTCGCTCAAAAGTGTCAATCAGAAGTGTTGCTCAGAAAAGTCGATCAGAAAAAGTGTGGTTCAGAAGTGTTGATCAGGTGTCGCTCAAAAGTGTCAATCAGAAGTGTTGCTCAGAAAAGTCGATCAGAAAAAGTGTCTCTCAGAAGTGTTGCTCAGAAGTGTCGACCAGAGAAAGTGCGGTTCAGAAGTGTTGATCAGATGTCGCTCAACACTGTCGCTCAGAAGTGTCAATCAGAAGTTGTGCTCAGACGTGTCGCTCAGAAGTCTAGTACGCGCTGGAAAATCGCAACTTTGTAGTGCAGGTCTAGTGCGCGAAGTACAAGTTTCCAGCTCTGGCTGGAAGATCGCAACTTTGAAGTGCAAGTATAGTACGCGAAGTACAGGTTTGGAGCTCCAGCTCGAAAATCGTAACTTTGTAGTACAAGTCTAGTGCGCAAAGTACAGGTTTTCTGCTCTAGCTGGACAATCGCAGCTGTGTAGCGCAAGTCTAGTGCGCGAAGTACCAGCTCCGGCTGGAAAATCGCAACTTTGTAGTTCAAGTCTAGCGCGAAGCGCAGGTGTCCAGCTCCAGATTGAAAATCGTAGCTTTGTAGCAAGAAGTGGAGCACGCAAAGTACAGTTTTACAATCTGAAAAAAATAGCTTGCGCAGTAGTTCTGATTGCGAGCCCCATTGGCTTATACCGAAAAATATTCTCGCCAATGTAGGGGAGTGAATAATTTGGGTGTTGGGGACCTCAGTTAAACTCCTTTTTCAGGGACTTCAATCATCATCTCCTTGTTTCTTGCATCTGACAGGCAAGACACCAAAGGTGGAAAGGTAGGGTGGTGGTGGTAGGTTGGGGGGGCGGGCGGGGCAGAGAGACAGGAGTTGCACTGAACTAGGGAATAATTATCAACCTGTTTTTTGGGGAACATTTTTTCCGGGTTTTTTGCCCCTCACAAAAACTTTTGTGTATTAACTCCCCCTGTTGCTTTTCAGGGGTGTGAATAATTTTGGGATTTTTTTGTGTATTGACTCCCCATTTATTATTCGCAACCTAACATTAATTATTTTCTTGGTTTTGCGCAAAGTGATGTGCACTCGGGTTCGTGGGCTCTGTCTTGTTTCAATTTTGCAATTTTCCAAGCCAGCTGGGATGTCCTGGAACAAAGGGGCCGCTTTGGACGTTGTTCTTTGGAACAATGATTCTGACCCCAAATAGGCCTCTTGGCTTCGAATGGAAGCTAAAGGCCACCAAGGGGCCTTTTTGGCAGACCTTGAAAGATCACCCCCAGATGTGCCATAAGAAGCGATTCGGGAGGCAAAGAAGATGCCAAGGCTTCTTTGTTTCACTTTTCGATAGTGCTGAAATTGTACCCAAAGAAAATGCGTTTGGGAGGAAAACGCCTGCGAGATGAGCTTCCAAAAGAGGTTCTATTTGCAGACCATTGTGTTTGCTCTCATTACCGCGCTGCAGTTCAGGAGTGTTGTGTTTATGTTTAATTCCCTTTGGCAGGATTGGACAACAGAACGACCGTTGAGGGAAGCCAGGAGTGAGCATGCGCCGAGGCGCGGCACCAAGAGCCAGCGAGGCACCAGCCGCCTCTGCCGGCAGCGAGCAGAGGCGCTTTGTCTCAATGGCTTCCCACCCAATTCCCAGCTTGGGCGGGGGTTCCTTGCTGCTTCTGCAACACCCCAAAGAATGCCTGCAAAAGCACAACACCAAATGGGTGTGCATGGTGCGCCCAACAAAGAGCCTTTTTTGGACGGTCAAGTCAAGGGCTTTGGGCTTCTCGTGTTAGGGACACCTGAAAGGTCCCGAGTTAGCGCAGTCCTAATTTCATCCAGCCCGTTTGACCATGAACCCAGCATGGATCCCATGCTCGCGCGTGTGCGCAATGTGTGTGTGTGTGGGTGCGTGAAATTGAGCCCTTCCAACTTGAAATCAGCAAGGACCCCTAGCAGCTCAAGGCCGACTTCCGCCGTGGAAGCCCCAGAAGGGCAGACTCAACGCTGCGCACCGCCAGGGAGTCCGACGAATTTCTTTGGGATTTTCGTGCCGAATTCGAGGCGTTGCTGCACCGTTCCCGGGCATCTTCTGCCTCCATCGACGGCTGGCAGCTGAGCCTTTGGTTTCTACCCTGTGCTTAACACCTTCTGCCTGTTGTACGTTCCGCTTTGAGGCGCTGTGCGGCGAGGCCAGGGCGATTTCAGAGTTCAGTTTGCATGCAGCATGCTGCCCCTCAGGCATCAGCATGCTGAGCCGCGAGGGCTCTCTGAGCGAGGACCCCGCGCTGGATGTGGCGGGGACCCGTTGCTTGCCACCGGCCGGCCGGACCGCGTGCTGTGCTCTCAGGTGCAGTTCATGGAGGATGAGGCCAGACACATTCTGTCTTCGTGGATCTTCGACGTTCATTGTTAAATCTTCGACATTCAAATTTGTTCCAGGGCATGGGCGATGACTACGACGATGATGGGGACTGACTCTCCAAGTTTTAGTCGGTTTGTCTCTGACTTTTGCTTCCTTGTCGGTTCATTGCTTACTTGCGGCTAGCATGTTCTTGGTTTTGCTCAGGGTTGGGCGGGCTTTGGGCGGAACTCTTTCGTTCGGAGCCTGCGGGTGCAGCAAGCCTGGGTGAGCATCACGAACAGTCCCAGCAACCAAAGGGGCATCATCACTTGTGACACAAGAGAGGCTCCTTGCCACAACTGTTCAGATGATGGCTGCCACAAACGAGAAACGAGAGAGCCTAGCAAAACGCAGGGGATGAATGACGGGTGAGCCACGGGCGATTTTTATGGGCGCCTTTTGCCAGGACGGAGGGCCTGACGACGACGAGGATGAGGAGGATCTCCCAACCCTGGAGCCTCACGAGGCGTGGCAGGGCCACAAATAGGTCCAGATATCCGCGCTTGTCATTCTTCGCCATGATTTTTGGGTGGGCGTCTTTGAAGCCGGTTGATTTCGGCTTCGGCCATGAGGACAAAGAGTTCACTAGAGTTCGTCCCTCCGATAGGTGCCGAAAGGAGGTTTCTAGGGGAACATCCTTAGCAGGTTCCTAACCTACGACCCAGACTTGCTAGTGTGTTTCTACCAAGGAATCCTCCAGGTTGGTGTGCTTTGTGTTGCCCTGACCCATTTTTCAAAGAGTCTTCCGTTGGAAATCCACTCCCAAGTGTGCCACGGCATGCCACGGTCAAGAGACCCCTTTCCCAATGCACACCTCTTACTACCCTTTTTCCATTAATCATGGAAGTGGACAGGGGGCTTCCCCAAACGGGATGTCGCCGGCCAAAACCCTGGCATCTTCCATGAGTTTTGGGGGACACGCGATAATGAATTTCACTGGGGGCCCCCCTCAGTAGGACACAAATCCCCAAAATGATGGCCACCAAAGGGTCCGGTGACAAAGTCCCTCCCGTGGCTGGAGGGAAGAAGATCAACCCGGGTGCGCTTTAAGGACACGGCCCTGCCGCGACGAGGGGACTTCGAGGGCTCAATGGCGTGGAAGCCCAACCGGGTGCCCCGGGCCAAGCGCCCAGGGAAGAGCCAAAAAACCTATTGGACAATTGTTGTCAGTTATTAGCGTAGTACTTTTGATATTTGATTGTGACACTATGTAGTCTTTTCCATGGGGACTACTTTCAGAAGAGTTGAGTAGGTGGCCTTTGCGGTTTTGTCGTCAGCCCCTAAGGCCCTAAGTAATGTATGTATATGATTGGGAGGGGTGCACACAACATGAATTTCCGAATGGAACTTCGAGACTTGCCCAAATCTAAATATGCAAGCATGGGGTCCCATGTATTGAAGAGGTCCCCCGGAAGCGGGAGTTTCTCAATGGACCGGGACCTCACCAGAAAAACCGATCGGCTAGGAGGAGGAGCTGCGGATGCTTGAGCAGCTCCGTGCCATGGACTGGCAACTGGCATTTGGTCGCATGGAAGTTTGTGTCAACAGGGGGTGCGGTCAACCTCGGAAAGGTAAGGGTTCCGACGGTTCCCATGTAATCTCTGGTTTCTTTTTTGGAAGCCAAAAGCACCGCACACCATGTGGGCCGCCTAAAAAAAGACACCCAACGTAGGGGAGTTTTGACCGCTACACGTTGAGGAGCAGATCATTTCGGAGGTCTTGGACCCAGAGGGCCGGCGGGGGCGGGGGAGCCCAGCAAGGCAATGGCCAAAGTTGGTCGAACGAATCGCACCTTCGGCTCAGTTGGCCGGGGTTTCCCGATTGAGCAGGGACTACCAAACCATAGGGGGAAGGATTTCTCATGGGGATGCGCTGCTTTTTGAGGTTCCATGTTTATTTGCTGACGGAGTAGGGGGCGGGGTTTGTCAAAGTGACGGTGTCAACACGACCTGTGAAATGGCACACGAGCTTCCAAGAGCAATTCGAACGACCCCCTGACCACCTTTGCAGGATTGTTCAAAAGGGAACACAGGTGGGAAAGCCATCATTTAGATGGAGACTCCGGTTTTAGGAAATGCCCGAGCAAATCTATTTTTGACTCGAGGAATCTGCTCATTTGTGGGTTCCATGTAAACTTTCCACGGGAGTGCGCGGGTTTTGCTTGTTGCCCCCCGGATTGAGGCGCGGGGAGGAGTTCGCGCCCATGGCAAGTCTCCGAATCCGCATGGGCGGCAACGACCTGCGGGTGCCGGCAGGGAGCTTGGCACGTTGGCCAAAGTGGTTCGTGTAGAGAGGAGGGTTGCCGCACACGCACACACACACACACACGCGCGCACAGAGACAGCTATGCATGCATGGGTGTACATATGTATATATGAATTTTCAGGCTGATGATGATGATGATGATGCTGATGCTGATGATGATGGCGATGATGATGATTTATGCTGCTGATGATGATGATGATGATGATGCTGATGCTGATGATGATGATGATGATGATGATGATGATGATGATGATGCTGCTGATGATGATGATGATGCTGCTGATGATGATGATGATTATGATGATGCTGCTGATGATGATGGCGATGATGATGATGATGATGATGCTGATGATAATGATGATGCTGATGATGATGCTGCTGATGATGATGGCGATGATGATGATGATTTATGATGATGATGATGCTGATGATAATGATGATGCTGATGATGATGATCATGATGATGATGATGATGATGCTGATGCTGATGCTGATGATGATGCTGCTGATGATGATGGCGATGATGATGATGATGCTGATGATGATGATGATTATGATGATGCTGCTGATGATGATGGCGATGATGATGGCGATGATGATGATGATGCTGATGATGATGATGATGAGCTGATGATGATGGCGATGATGCTGATGATGATGATGATGATGCTGATGCTGATGATGCTGCTGATGATGATGCCGATGATGATGGTGGTGATGATGATGATGATTATGATGATGATGATGATGCTGATGCTGATGCTGCGGATGATGATGGCGATGATGATGATGATGCTGATGATGATGATGATTATGATGATGCTGCTGATGATGATGGCGATGATGATGATGATGAGGATGATGATGATGATGATGCTGATGCTGATGCTGATGATGATGCTGCTGATGATGATGCTGATGATGATGATGATGATGATGATGATTATGATGATGATGATGCTGATGCTGATGATGCTGCTGCTGATGATGATGATGATGATGCTGATGATGATGATTATGATGATGATGAGGATGATGATGATGCTGATGCTGATGCTGCTGATGATGCTGCTGATGATGATGGCAATGATGATGATGATGCTGATGATGATGATGATGATTATGATGATGATGATGATGATGACGGTGAAAGGATGACTGTTTGTTTCAATATGATACTTTTGCGCATTCCTTTATGGGTAGAGAGGGGGCCTGGGGGACCTCCACCAAACCTCCTTGAGTTTTAAGTTGGTTTGTCTTCTGAGGTCGACGCCTATCAGATCCGTCGCGGCGCAAGCAAAGGCGCGCACACCATTCCGGACGTCTTTCCGTGTCAAGTGCTGTTCCTTGAGATGGGCCCAAGAAGTTCGAGCCCCGCTCTTTTTTCCAGGGGTGCTTCTCGGAAAAGTTCGCGGCATTGTGCAGAACTCCCGTTTTGGTGATGCGCCAAGCCGAACTGAAAGGCGGTTTTCCCTGGCACACACGCGTTTTTCAGTACCTCTTGCAAGCAATGGGAACCGCGAATTCACCGATCTGAGGACAAATTTAGAGATCCAGTTCTTCTTGTGTGTGTGTGTGTGTGTGCGCGCTCACCCATGTTCAGTGAGGCTACTTCCACTTGGGGTGTCCTACCTTGTTCATGAGCTAAATTTTGGCACACGGAGGCGAGCCGCTGAGAGGGGAGTTCCTCTCCTTCGTGCGCTCTGCGGACGCCAGCAATGCCACAGCCACCTTGGCATGGGACTCAGCTTGGGAATGGGTGCCTACCTATGGCTATTTGTGGCTTACATGACGGATTCCGAATCAAGCCCTTGGGCTGGGTGGCAGCTGGGTGTTGAAGGGATAAGGAAAGCATGCCGAGCGGGTTGGTTGCCTATTGGGCCACGTGATGCAAGGATCACCCCGTTGTGGAGCGGCTGGGTGCGGCAGACCTGGTGGAGAAAGGACGCACCGCCTGGCTGTGTTTCCTCATGTGAGGAGTGCCCTTTTGCACCCTGGTGCCTGAGTTATTCAAAAATAAATCCTGAATTCTTCTGCGTTAACCCAGCCGGGTGCCTTTTGCTCCTGGCCCATGAGTCAATGAGGGAAGCACCTGCCCCCACACCCAGGAGACGCGCCCATGGCGGCAGGCCCGCAGCCCGCGGCGCGCAGCCCACGGCCTCAGCCATTCAACATGCGGCCAGGCTCTCCCCCTCCCCAGCTGGCAGCTCGCTTCTGCCTGCCTCGGCCTCAACTAGGGAGAATGGGAGATGCAGAACCCCACGCACCGCTTATTTTCGGAAAGGAAATGCCCAGAAGGGGTCAGCTTCCATATTGGCCTGAACGGGGGGAATTTGTCGGACCATTCCATGTCTCGATCAAGGGCTATGTATTCTGATTCAGCGCGTGTTTGACCCGCTGCCCGCCTGCTTTGCTTGCAGCTCGCAGTTGTGCTGCTGGCATCCACCAGGTATCCGAAGGATGGCGTGGGGGGCTCAAATTATTTTTGCACAGTCGAGTAGCCAGAGAAGAGGAGAACTCCAACTAGTTCCAACAGTGAAACAGTTTCACGCAGTTTGCGCAGCTGCAAAAAGAACCGCTATGCATTCGGAGGCCCAGACTCAGCTACCGCAGCAAAGGGCTTAGCGAGCTGCGATTTCAGAGGACTTGACCCATTGCCCGGTTGGATTTTTTTGGCTCAGGGTCGCACCTTGAGGTCTTGGAACCTTTTGCGGGCCATGCAGTTCCTTGAAGGTCAAGGCGCAGGCGCGGTTTTTTGTTTGTTAATCATCCCAATTGTGACGGCAGAAAACAAACGTTTGTTGCTGGGTTGAGTCAGGGAATTGTTTGAGGGCTTTGGGAAGCCAAATCCTTTCCCAAAGCAGGTTCCCATTAAGGAATCAAAGTATGCGTCAAAGAGGTTTTGGGACAATCTGGGACGCTTCAGTTCGCTGTCATTCCCTCGCCCGAGAACCAGACATGCTCCTGTATCAGGCGAAGACGCAGAGCCAAAGGCGTGGAATGCTGATTGCACAGACGAGGGAAGTTTGGCATTGTGCTTTTAGTGTGCGCTTCTGTTTTGGTTGCCCAGAAGATTAGCTTCTGATATCGGCAATGTTTGCCAAGAGGTGCAAGAGTGTCCAAGCAATCACAGAGAGATGAACCGCCAGAGATGAACCATGCCTTCTCTCTCTCCTCTCTGGCTCCATCCTTGTTTCACCTGCTTTCCAGAGAGGTGATAGACAAAGAAGGAGAGAGATGGGGAGTGACCGTTCATTCGCTCGTTTTCTCGCTGTCATTCGCCTGTCCCTCTATTCATCTCTCCCACTCTTCGAACTCTCTATTCCTTCCCCTTCTCTCACTCATCTATTCCCTCGCTTGGGTAGGAGAGTTGGTATGAGTGACGGGAATGATATGAGAGACAACCCGACATATAAGCACTTCTGGAGCCGGGATGAGTAGAGAGAGAGAGAGAGAGAGAGAGAGAGAGAGAGAGATAGAGCCTGTCCGCGGCAAATGAGAGGCAGCGGAGAGTGGAGATAAGTCCCTTCTTTCATTCTTCACTCTGTCCTTCCTTACCTCCCTTCCAGATCGCTATTACTCTGCGAGCTAAGACACAGGGATTAGCGACCAGCGGAGAAAAGAGCGAGGAAAGGAAGAGATGCAAAAGATTAGACCTCATCCCATCCTGTGTCTGGCATACCGGTTAACCTCTTTCCTTTCCTTTCCTTTCCTTTCCTTTCCTTCGTACACCATCAATCTCAGAGATGAACCACCCACACCCACACCCAGACCCAGACCCAGACCCAGACCCAGACCCAGTCAGACACACACCCACACACCCACACACCCACAGAGCCACACACCCACACACCCACAGAGCCCCACAGCCACACCCACACACCCACACACCCACACACCCACACACCCACACCACACACACACACACCACACCCACACACACACACCCACCCACCCACCCCACACACACGCACACACACACGCACGCTCGCTCGCTCGCACGCACGCACGCCCGCCCGCCCACCCGCCCGCACGCGCACGCGCACCCGCACGCGCGCGCACGCCCCCGTCCGCCCACCGCGCGCACGCAAGCACCCAGGCACGCACGCACCCACGCACCGCACGCACGCATGTGTGTGTGTGTGTGTGTGGTGTGGTGTGCGTGTGCGTGTGTGCGTGTGCGTGTCGCGCGTGCGCGTGCGCGTGCGCGTGCGCGTGCGCGTGCGCGTGTGCGTGCGTGCGTGTGCGTGTGTGTGTGTGTGTGTGTGTGTGTGTGTGTGTGTGTGTGTGTGTGTGTGTGTGTATGTGTGTGTGTGTGTGTGTAAGTGTGTGTGTGTGTGGTGTGTGTGTGTGTGTGTGTGTGTGTGTGTGTGTGTTGTGTGTGTGTGCATGTGCGCACGCAGCCAGGCAGGCACGCACGCGCGCACGCATTGCATGCGCCCCGCAGCGCGCACGCGCACGCGCCCGCACACGCACACGCACACACACACACACACACGCACACGCACACGCACACACGCGCACAAGCGCACATGCACGCCGCACTGCACGCGCACACGCAACGCAGAGCGCACGCACACGCACACGCACCACGCACACCACACGCACACGCACACACACGCACGCACACGCACACGCACACGCACACGCACACGCACACGCACACACACACGCACACGCACACGCACACGCACGCGCGCACACGCACGCTTTGCGCACGCGCACGCGCACGCGCACCACCGCTGCCACGCAGCTCACGCGCACCCACCGGACGCACACGCACCGCACCACCGCCGCGGCACAGCGCAACAAGCCACGCGCCGCGCACCGCACCGCGCGCGCACGCGCACGCGCACGCGCACCGCGGCGCAACACGCACGCACGCACGCAACACGCGCACAGCGCACGCGCGCACGCGCAGCGCAGCGCACAGCGCACGCGCACGCGCACGCAGCACGCGCCACAGCGCAGCGCACGCGCGCGCGCGCACGCGCACACGCGCACGCGCACGCTGCGCACACGCGCGCGCACGCGCACAGCGCCGCGCACGCGCCGCGCACGCGCACGCGCACGCGCACGCGCACGCGCACGCACACGCACACGCACACGCACGCGCACACGCACACGCACACGCACGCGCGCACGCACGCAAAGCGCGCACGTGGGCACGCGCGCCTGCACGCCCGCATGCAGGCCCTTACCACGCACGCACGTCGCACTCTTACACCCGCGCACCTGCCCAGCACCCGCACCCGCATGCCCGCGCAGTACGTGCAGCAAGCCGCGCGCGTGACCCACCCACCCGCTCGCCCACCCACCCACATACCACTCAACATGCGCTTTTGGGGCGTCGAAGACCAGCCAGGGAAGTTAAGTGTGGCTTTGAGCACCCAATTGCATCACGGGCGCTGTCAAATCTTTCTCGGAAAAAGGGCTGGGTGCCATCCACTCCCTTGGCAAATTTGCGGAAGGAACCCAACAAGGGGTTCCCCAAATGGAGATTTCTCAAAAATGCAGCTTCAGGGTTCCATGTTCTTTTGCCAAGTCGCGCGGGTGCCAAAGAATTGGCCGGAGGTGCCTTTGGAGAACTGGCAGCTGGGCTACGAGCTGGTGCTGGACAGTTGCGGCCCTGGCAAGCCGAGCGGAACCATCTCCGTGCGGTTTTTTCAAAAAGGATCAGACCCTCGCAAGGGTCAGACACTGTCACCGGTTGCGAAACACAGAACATTTGTAGTTTGTTTGATGCCAGGTGGTAGTGGTTTCCCTTTCTTTGGAGTACTACTGGGGGTTGTGGATAAGGACAAGGGATACCCAACATTTTGAAGAACCCAGTATTCGTATAGGTAACGTACCGAATCGCGAATCGGGGCATACACCGCAGTACAGAGACCAAAAACACAACGGCCATGCATGAGCCCATGGCCATGCTGGGCTGAAGGCGCTTGGTGTCGCGTAAACTGAAGAAACGATTCGCAGGTAGTGACCTCGTTAGCCTCGGGGTTCATACCCGGGTCACATGGGTGTGTTTGCGGAACCCCATTTTGATTGGTTTCGCGCCATTTTGTTTTGGTTGGGGGGGGGTTCTTCGGTCGGCTTCCTTTCCATCCCTTTGCCAGTTAGGGAAACCGACAGGCGGGAAGACCACTTTCCTACCGTTCCTCCCGTCCACTGCCATTGTTAAATAAGGGTGCCTTATCCACTCAGTTGTTGACTTGGCATGTTTAAATTAGAAATGCGGTTTCTACGTTGTGTGGACCGCGCCTTTTTCTTTTGCTGGGGCGCCGGAAACGGGGGGGCTTAACAAAAAGAGGCATGGGCTTCCGTTTCACTCCTTGGCCCCAAAGCGATTCGTGAATCGCTCAGGCGAGCCCGCACCGGAGGCAATCAGGCGGGGCCTGGGGGGCCGAGACCGTAGTCATGGAGCCCCTGATTTTTGCATAGAATGCAAGTATCGCAAAGATGGCTTATGCAGAGATAGACATGTACTTATTCTTCCCAACGCTAAGTGAACAATCGCCACATAGCCTAGCACACATTATTCCCACCTGAGGTCAACCTCAAATCTACCCTTGATCAAACAGGCCCCCGTGCTTCGTCAAACCCTTTTCCGTTCAGGTCGGAGATGGGCACTGGAGACAGCAAAACCGTGACGCAGGCGATTGAGTTGCCAGGGGCCTGGTGGGTCACTTCTGAATTGTAAGACGAGTTCGCGTGGTAAAACAGAAAGGGCATCGGAATCCCGAGGCTTCGCATCATGTACGCGCACGCGCCCAGCCGAAGCCTGATATGCTGATTCGGGGTTCTTTTTTCGATGCCAACCACTGGGTTTAATCCCGTTCCCTGCCAGGTTTGAACCTGGAGAGTGGCAACTGGGTCTCCTCCAAGTTGGACCGGAAGTTGAGGCGGAGGGAACTCGGGAGAATCTGTTGGACCCTTGGGATGAAGGGCGCCCGAAAATGTGCGGAAACCCCGGAAGATCTCTGAGGGAGTCAAATTTGTGGAGTTCCTCCAGGGGGAAGAGGTCTGCTCCTGCAGCCATTCCCAGCTCGCCAGGTATCAGCTCGAAGATCCGCCTGGCAACCTGGAGGAATGCTGACTTGGGATTGCTCAGATCGGATTCACGTGAGCCACAATCAAAGCCCGGGCAAGTGAAGGTTAGTAAGGGACGATCCCAGCCATAAATAGCTGCGGCCGCCTTCTTATTTCTGTACATGGTTCTGGGTCGACCATTTTTGTACCGGGTTTTGTTGTGAATCACGTGGGCTGGTGAAACGGGAGGATTCACCCGTTTCGAGTGGATTCCTTTGATTAGCACGCCCATTTTCACTCTGAAGTTGGCAATCTATGCAGCGGCCGGAAGCTGGCGCAGCCGGCCGAGGCTGAGCGTGATCAGCGGGACCTTGCCAGTGTGGGCAGTGATGCTGCCTCGTATGTGCCCCTTCCTTTTCAGCCAGCCGCCCAGCTGCCAGCGTTGTCGTCTTGCAAAAAAACACGGTTGGGCTGCATGTCCAAACCACTTGCACTACGTACACTCCCGTGTAGGTGCGCAAGCTCCCCCTTCCTTTTAAAGAGAGGAGAAACTAGGTTTGAAGGGCTTGTACTCATTTACGTTTGGTGGGAGGGAATTTGCTTGAATATCCTCATTCAGGCTCCTCAGTTCCCAGATAATTGTATTGTTGACCCCAGCTTTGCGACCAGGGTTTGTGTCGAAGCCACGGGCCTTTTAGGCCCACGGGGGGGGGGGGGGGAACCTGGGCTTGCCTTGACTTTTCCTGAAAAAATGTGTTTGATTTTGAACCCCCTTCCGAAGCCTTCCTAACCATGGACTTGGTCCACTTTGGCTTTCGCGAGGCTTGAAGACGCGCAAGATGCTGCTGAAGTACACGGCCTTCGGGCCATCCTTCGCTGTACATTGGACACAGGAGACAGACGGCCCCTGTTAGAGGAAAAGGGTCTTCCCGGGCTCCCACTCAGGTTGCGTGTCTGTTTTTTTGGGAGGGTTACGGGCGATAAGAGTGTGGCTGTGCCCTTGCAACGTGGAAGCCAAAAGGATGTCCATCCCCAAAGCAAAGGTCCCTCTACAGTAGTCACTACAATAGAGTTTGGTGATCCATGCTAGGTTTGGGTAGGCTTCCAAATGATCTGCTTCCCTCCAGTCCCCCTTTTGAGGAGAAGCGTGTTTGTGGGAAATTGGATACTTTCTAGCTTCTATGGTGGCAAGCGAACTCCCTTTCATGTGATATGTTATGCTATCTGCCTATTCATGGTGAGCTCACCGGAGGTAAAACGAGCTCACCGTGCAAATCCTTTGCTTGGTGATGCCCTATTTCAGGTTTTGCAGTGCAGATGGCTGTGGAGAATCGGGTTTCAGTCCCCGCGTCCTGATGGCAAGGAGCACAAGGTGGGCTCCTTCCTGAAGCGGCGCGCCACGGTGCAGACAGAGCTGAACGCCTTTCCCTCGGGTCAGCTGCCTCTCCGAACGACGGGTGGGGCAAAACCCGAAACTTACGCAGACGCGAAAAACGGGTCCCTGCGAAGGGAATGCAAAGGAGGTTTTTGAAAACAAGTGGTTTGAAACATGAAGCAAAGGCTGACACGCGGGCCTGGGTTGGGTTTCCGATTAATTAACCTCCACCTGCCCCATCTCCAAGAAAGTTGAAGGGAAGTTTGGATATGATTGTGGAGTTTGAGTTATTCTGTCCTCCTCGCAGCCTCTTTGGAGTTCTATATGGGGTGCATGACCCTTCAGTAATAGCATGTCCTGAGTTTGCGGGGTACTGAGAAGGGGCGAGGCGAGCCCGCACACCCACGCAGACCCGCCCGCTCACTCACCCAACAACCCCTCTTTTGTATTGTCGTGGCCCCTAATCCTTCTATCAGAGACCCATGCATCTCTTTTAGGTGCATTGGACATTCAAGTAGGTTTTGGAGAGGGCTTCCGCGCCTCGCTGTGAGGCACAGACGGATCCCCGGAAGATGCAAGAGCTATCCCAGGAATTGCTCTTGCCTGAGAGCGATCCGCGCATCGAGTCACAAGTCAAGGCGCTCTGTTGGTGTTCAATTTTGTGAGGGGGAGTCGCCTCTGGGACCTTGGTGACATTCAATGCACCACTCAAAACGACCTCTCTTTTTGTCAGCCCGCCACATCACTGCATCCTTTCGGCAAATCAGATGCGGACCGTTGTGTTTCAGGTCCAACATCGAGGAGCACGTGGTGAGGCAGGAGTTTGCAAGCAATTGGACCATGCGCTCTTGCGCTCTTGCGCCTTGCGCGCCGCATCGTGCTGAGCCCCCCCCCCCCCCGTCCCCGCAGGTCAAACTTTTGGCTTGGCACTCTTCAGAGCACTCTTGCCGGTGCCTGAGCTTTGTGTGGTATCGCCTTCAGCTGCACACGTGGTCTCTATGCGGCAGTTGTCGCTTGCGCGCTTGGTACTTGTGTTTGGTTTATCTCAGGTGAGGCTGCAGAAGGGGGAGGAATTCCTCCGCCAGGCAGATGTGGCCATGGGCATCTTGGCAAAGGCTCGGCAAGGGGAGCTCACTTGACCATGTAGCTAATTGATGTGTGCATGTCTTGTTTTGGGCAGCGGCAATTGAGTCATACTCGATGCTTGCCATGGTGAATGAGGAATGCAACAAACAGGTCGAACCACCAACAGATCATACCCACTTCCTTTTCATCCTGTGACCCGGATTGCAGCGGAAGGCCAGCAAGCTCATGGAGGTACAGTTTGAGGGGGAGACAGGTTTCGGCGTGGCCGTGACCCAATCCTTCTATGCCTAAGCCTCGGCAGGGACTGAAGGTGTTACTCAAGGACCCCCCCCCAAAAAAAAAGCAGTGTGTCCCAAGCCATGGCACATGGATTGCCTAGGTGGAGGTGGCACAAGCACTTCAAGACCGCAGTATCAACAGTACAGTACCCATGTGGGAGCTGGGCTCAGATCCTTTGCTGAAGCCAAGCTTTGACCTTCTGCTTTCTCCAGTTGTCATTTAAAGCTTCCGACAGATGGTACTTTTTCTCTGTTTCAGCTCCTGTGGGCAAGTGGGTTGCTGCTTTGAGCTCAGACGTATCGCCAATGCCTGCGCCGAAGGTAGAGGATGATTCCTCCGGGCCGCACTTGCCGCGCTCTTACTCGAGTCGGCTCAGACACGTTTTGATTTGTTTCCACATACGGGACATCCAAAGTAGTTGGCTTCTTTCTCTTTGCCTATGAATCCCATCCAAATGAGCTCCCCCTTGAAACCGCAAACAACACTCCAGGAGGTCTCCCGAGACACTGCCAGACTCCCAGATGCATTTTCTTTGCAGGCTATGCCGCAAGGGCCTTCTTTTGAAGCCGCTGCCTCCCGGGCACCTTGGCTTTTGTTCATGCGGTGCGGGTTTGGGCGGAATCAGGGATGAGTTGGAACCTGTCGGTTGTGCCCTGACTTGCCGGTGTTGGTGTCCATATGGGCCACAATCAAACTCCGGGTAGATGAAGGTTAGTAGGGGGACAGACCCAGCCAGCAAAAAGCTTTGTTGCGTAGAAGTTGCGATTGTGACTCATGCCATCCCGGCCCTTGATTCCCTTTAGCTCACAATGGCAGAGCAAGCCAGCACAAAACCGAGGCCACAGCGGGAGCAGGCGGCGCATCGTTTCCGCTTTTTGGGGCGGCTGCTTGGAACTTAGTGCCACCGGAGAGAAGCCTTTTGTAGTAGCACTTGTTGCTGCAAGGATGGGCCAGGCTCTGTGCTGGCCTCAGCTCGACAGCGCAAGAGCCACAATGAAATGCCAAGCTAGCGAAAGCAGGGGAGGACTAACTCATGAAAACCTGCGGCTGCTTTTGATTCTGTGCATGCCTTTGGCTAGACCTCTTAAGTACCAAGTTTCGGTCATGACTGTTAGTCATTGGCTTCGAGCAGGTTCGTCAAGCTTGCGCAGCGCGAGGCGAGAGGGCTTCATCGTTCCTTTGCCCTTGGCAGAGGAATTCTTCGCACTGGTCCTTGGTGAGCAGCACGGCGGCCCAGCAACTCTTTGGTTGTGTCCGCCCACTTTCGACCCAATGCGAAACATGCCGAGCGGATTTTGTTGAGCATAGAGTTGGGGTGAAGCACTGCCAGTCACTTCCAGAGATGCGACATGGGAGTTGCGACATGAGATGCGTTCCTCCGAGGCTCGGCAGGGCCAGCCTGCCCAAGCCTGGCCATGGCGTTGCCGGAGAGCCGGGGCCCAGGGCTCGGCGTGGCTTGCGGAGTGGCTCGAATCGCAGGCTGCTGGGGGCCTGCTCGGACTTCTTGGACGAGCTCTCGGCCGGCGAGGCATGGCAGGCTCAGGTTGCGGCTTTCGAGGTCAGAGCCGCCCAGGTTGGCCTTCCTCCAGAACAGGTTCCGGCCTGGCGTGCTGCGCAGGTGGACGCATCAAGTCCCCTGTGCCGAGGGTGAGGTAAGATCAGCGTGGCAGTTTTCGGTTTGCGGCATTGATGCACGCTCCACCCATGTAGGCTTTTGACCTGCAGCGTCCTGGTGTTGTCATCGTGGTGGTGGTAGTGGCTGTTGGGTGTTGGCTTTGGCGTTGGTGTTGGTGTACTTGGCGGTTGTGGGGTTCGAGTTGCTGTTGTTTAAGCTGTTAACTGTTGCTGCTGCCGCCTCCGGTGCTGGTGCTGCCTGACGGAGATGGCCGTTTCAGTCGCAGCATCGTTGTTCATCACATTTTGCTTACTGCCGTTTTACCACAGAAGGGGACAATTTCCATCCTTACGGCAGTGGTTGCCAGCAGCAAGTGGAATTCTCAGGCCAGGAAATCATGCCATGCATGAGGAGTACCATTCTTTGCTTTCGCCACAGTGGGTGCCTGGACATCCATCTCAAGACACGTAAGTCACGGCCCATGCCTTTTCTACCCAAGACACCTGAGAGGCAGATCAGCCGGACTTTGCGGAGCGCTTCATGGCACGCCCAGATACCAGCCCCGAGCTGGGAGCTCGGGAAAGTGTGGGAAGCCTTTAGAGGATCTCACAAAAACTCCAAAGCATCCCATGCAGTGTGGGCTGCCGGAGAGGTTTGCCTGACAAGTTCCCAACACACTCGCAAAAGGACTCGTGAGATGCTTGGGGTGGAACCCCTCCCTTGGACTCCTTCGGGTTTCAAGGGGTGGGGTGTCCTTACCTTACCTCTTCGGACGGAATGCAAGGGCATAGAGAAACGTAATGAAACCTGCAACTAGCAGGGGGCTGTGTACTTTAGGGAAAGGTGCATGACAATCTATGACTTGAGATCTATTTGTTGACGGCGACAGCGGGGTATGTTGATTGATTTTGGGTTACTACTGGGTTTTGTTCATGTCGGCCGAGCCGCAGCGAATGATCCAGCCGGGAACGTCTTGGCTCCCTGCCCTGTGGATACGCCGGAAGCTGCGCCAGATCTCGATGATTTTGATCCCCGGGCAGCATTTACCGGGGATGTTGATTTAGACAAGATTCAGGAGATGGGACCATCACATCTCCAATCGCGGATGTGAAGAAGCAAACATCTGGGAGTAACGTTTCCGGGGGTTGTCTTTCCTTGTTCTGAGCTGCTCCTCGTGCGGGCGGCAGATGCCTTTTTGTTGCTTGCTCCCGAGGGTATTCCTAAGGCCCATGTCTTTCAACGAGTACACGCGACTCGTGGGGGTTTGCTTCCTGGAAACTGGCCTCAGCTCGGGCCTCAGCTTGAACGCTGACCAAACACTTTCAGTCACTTTCGTCACTTTCGGGTGTTGCGGGTCGTAAATCGCAGATGGGATTTACTACCAGGGCTTTGGCTGAGGGGCCTGGCCCCATGGCGCAGTTGGCTCAGGTGTTCTCAAAGGTTGATTTTCATTCTTTCCTTCGAGCCACTGCAATTCTAGTTATCCATTGCGTTTGTTTCTGCATGTTGCTTGCGGAATGGGAGAGAAGTACCCTCTTTGGCTGCATATTCCCGTGAGGGGTGCCGAGGTGGAGCTGAGCTGTGCCCAGAGGGCGATTGCGTGGCGGTGACAGCGGACAACGCCGGGCGCCGGATGTGGGATGCGGGTTGACATGTGTCTCAAAATAGGTAACCCCCAAGCAAAACCCCAAAAGACACACCCACACGGGGAAAACTATGGAAAACTCTTTGACAGACCCCTCTTGGCGTTCTCGAATCATTGCGTTGCCTCACCAGAGCCCATGTCCAAGGAACTCCAGTTTTTACCATGTCCCGTATCGTAAAGGTGAGTTTCGACTGTGCACGGTCAGCGCCTTTCGTTCAGATCGATAGCTTTCCGAAGAACATTGGAGGGATCTCCGCTTCTTTGAGCCATGTTATTCATAGCTCACCTGACTGTCCAAAGGATTCTTGCAAGACAGTGTAGGTCCTGCTTTGCCACAACGATGCTGTGCATGCTGAGGTGGGCACTTTTGTCGAGCAGGCCAGGGCGAAAGGTGTGTGCCTTTGGACAAAGACTGCCTTTGCAATTGCCTGGGGCACTAGCTGGCACAAATGGGCAAGGGTGTTCTTGCCTCGGTTTGTGGATTTGGAGCTTGTCCAGTTCCTTCCTCTTTGCTAACAAGCTCTAACTCAAACCTCGACGTTCCTCGACGTCCATGCTTGGCAAGAGCCATGAGGCACCATGCCGATTCCTTTCTCACTGCCCAGCTGCAAACCAGGATCACATCTTGTTTGCCCTTTCCCAAGCCCTTCGAAGCTCTGGTGGAAAAGCAAATTTCTTAGAAGCACATCATGGGGCTCTTCAAGCAGGGCCTCTTCACTGCAAAGAATGGGTTTAAACGCTCCAATACAACTCCAATGCAAATTCGGTTGTTTCCTTTGTCCTTCCAAGGCAAGTCAAGCCAGTTCCACTTCAACTTTCCTATACACTTTCTTTTGTTTCACAGGAGTGGCGCTGGATCTTCACTGGCGTCGTACTAGACTTTCACTGGAATGGCACTGGAGTGGCCTTCACTGAAACAGCACTGGAATTGCACTTTCACGGGATTTTGGTTGGAACCGCGCTGGATTTTCCACTGGAGTGGCGCGCGATTTGCACTGGAGTGGCGCGTGATTTTCGGGGGCGTGGCACTGGATTTTTACTGGCGGAGTGGCTCTGGAAGAACGGCTTTCAAACTGGCTTAACCATATCGTGAGCTGTGGCAAGTTGCATCAACTTGGCAAGGGCCCGACCAAATCAATTAGTTTTTGTTGACCGTTTGAGCCGTGGGAGAACGCAGGAATTCCATGGGAGTGTTGCTGGTTTTGCTGGTTTGACAATGGTGTCACTTGCCATTGGAGTGCCTGCTTACAGGGCACAATGGATTTGATGCGGCCTTGCTTAAAGCGGCTATGATGCTGCCCATTGAAAATTAGAAGAGGAGCTGGCTCCAGCCGAAAACAAGCGGAACCGGGCCAGAAGCGGGACACTTTTGCGTCTCCAGAGATCTCTCTCTCTCTCTCTCGACCAGGCGGCGGAGTTCTGGTTCAACACCGGGGTGAGAGATCAGGCACAAACTCGTGGCACAGCCGCTTTGGCTTGAGCTGTGAAGGTTCCTCAGCTTGGTGTTTGATCGCAGTCGAACATGCGGTTTACGCAGGTCGAGGCCTTCAAAGGGGGCCTCAACGACGTGTTCCCGTTCCAGAGCCTGCAGGCACGGTGAGTTGCGTCGTTGAAGATTAGGGGCCCGTCCTTTTTCTGGCAACCAACATTCTCGCAGGGCTCCCTAGTTCTAACATGCAGCCAGGCGTTTTGTGAAATTATGGACCCCCGCAAATAGGCTGCATTCACTTGATCTGGCTTCTTTCCAGGTCAGGTGGAAAGGCCGACAAGAGCTTTAAGAAGAGCTATGTAAGTGAGGTAGGGGCCTACAAGAATGGCAAATGCTGAACAGCAAGGAGCAAAACTCTGGGATACGTGAAGGTTCGTTGCATTGTTTCCTGGATTGTGAGCAACTATGTTTTGCTAGCGCGTGACTTGTGCCTGCATGGCGCTCAGGCCTTTACCAGGTCAGAGCTACGGGAAATGTTCTGCCTGCGCCCAAGTGCCATTGGCCCTCGCGCTTGCCTGTTTCACAGGTCCATTGTGATACACAGCTGGTAAGCATGGCCCCTGAAGCATGGGGGTTGAATTTTATTTGGGACCCATTGGCGTGGATGTATGTCCACTAGCCAGTTTTGAGGGGTTGCCGGGTTGCCTGTTGAATTTGTGGCCTGCGCCCCAGGTGGCGAGGACAGAATAGAGTGGGACGAGCAAGCCCTGCACTGCCGGCATGGCTCGCACCGTGTTGGGGCTGTTTGTTTTCAGGGGGGCAGTATTAATGTTGCAGCAAGCGGTACTCGTGGTCATGGTGGTTGGGGGTGGGATTCGTTAAGGGTCGGATAAGGGTTGGTTGGTCCAGTTTAGACTGGGTTAAGGCTGGGTTTGTAGTTAGCTGAAGATGCTGAAGGGGCAGGCTCAGCTTCAGGTTGGTTTGCCTGGGGGAGGGGGCCAGAACCTGGGACCGGGACCATATTTTGTTTGAGTATCTCTGCTTTCTTTGTTTGTCTCTCCTCCCTGTTGATTCAGCGCGAGCCAGGCTGAATCATATCCATCCAACAGGTGGGCTGACGGACAAGTCGCCTGCGTACAAGTTCCTGGTGGCCAGTGCCCCAGGGCCAGAGAGATGCCGTTTGGCAGAAAATCGCCCTTCCCCGCTGCCTGAACTGCCTCAGAATGGTTCCAGCCTGGTGCCCCTTGGCGAATGGGGACTTCACCTAAAAGCAATGTATCATTAGGGCATGTAGGTATTGAATTGCATTTTGTGTGCAGGCGGGCTTGCAAGCGTGCTTGCAAGCCTGCCTGCTTGCTTGCTTGCTTGCTTGCTTGCTCGCTTGTTTGTTTGTTTGTTTGTTTGTTTGTTTGTTTGTTTGTTTGTTTCTTTGATTGAGTTGCATTGCTTGCTTTGCTTTGCTTTGCTTTGCTTTGCCTTGCCTTGCCTTGCCTTGCTTTGCTTTGCTTTGCTTTGCTTTGCTTTGCCTGTGCTTGCTTGCTTGCTTGCTTGCTTGCTTGCTTGCTTGCTTGCTTGCTTGCTTGCTTGCTTGCTTGCTTGCTTGCTTGCTTGCTTGCTTGCTTGCTTGCTTGCTTGCTTGCTTGCTTGCTTGCTTGCTTGCTTGCTTGCTTGCTTGCTTGCTTGCTTGCTTGCTTGCTTGCTTGCTTGCTTGCTTGCTTGCTTGCTTGCTTGCTTGCTTGCTTGCTTGCTTGCTTGCTTGCTTGCTGCAAAGAAGGCTGGATGCGCGTGCGCACGCTTTAGCCTTTGCAAACGGGGAGCTTAGTGGTTGACAACTCCGTGGACTCTGCTGTGCTGTCCAGGCTGTCCTTTTGGAGCTCGGCCAAGCTGAGCGGCCGGTAGCCCAGGATGGCAGGCAGCAGCAGAGGCAGAGGGCGGCGCAATGAGGTCCCGGTTCTTGGACTTCGTGTCATCTTGCCCACGGCTTCCACCAGGCGCTGCTTTTGGATCGCAAGCTTGCGCATATTTCATGCGTGTCAGGCGGCATTGCAAAATTTCACGTGGACGTTTTCCCGGACACCAGCGCCAGCAACCCAGCAACCCCAAGCTGTGAGCTGAAGGCGCGCCTTTGAATCAACGTACTGTCCAGGCATCAAGGCAAGCCTTCCCGCGCTCACGTGCCTGTGCCAACCAGCGACAGCCTCAGCTGGCGGGCTTGAGTTCCACGGCAGAATGCACTAAGAGGGCAACAGGGTCATTAAGCATGCTCGAGAGTTCACAGCGAGGCTCTATTTGCCTCCATACACCTCCAAAGAGGAATTGCAGGCAAAGCTGCACGAGGCCATGCACTGCTCCGTGGGGGTCTCAGTCAGACTGAGGCATCGCCATGGCCGTCATGGGGGAGTTGAAAGGAACTGTGAGCTTTGGCCGTTTTGGAAGCCCAAGTCAAACGGGCCTAAGGCGGGCCACCACGAGCAGAGAGTACGGGACCAATGATGCCGGCGCCCAAGGCTCGCTTAGGCGATCCCAAGTCGGCCAAAACCGGCTTGACACAAACAAGGTCATTATTTCAGGCCATGGCTTTCTGTATGGTAGATCGTGCAGGTGTGTTCTCTTTCAGGGCAGGTGCTAGGTACCCCCTGATTTCTCGCCGAGGGCATGGCTCTCCTCTGAACTTTTGGCACCCTGGCCCTTGTAGGAGGCTTGTAAGGAATGTGCAGCGCACTTCATTGATGACTTCTGGCTTTGGACTGGCCCAAGGCTCGCTGGGGGCGCCTTGAAGTGCAAGAGCGAATTCATGTGCCCGGGGCAGGGAATTGTCGGAGTTTTGGCCTTGTCACCTTGGTTTGGAGTCATGCCAGTTCCAAGATAAGGCTCCTAGCCTGGATCTTTTAGCAAAAAAAAAGAGCTAGGCCAAAACTCGATCCAGAGAACGCGGCGCTTGCCTGGCGAACTTACAAGTGTGTCAGCCAGGTGAGCATCAGGTTACCAATCGTACGGATGCTTTTTGAAACCCTGGTGAAATTTAGTGCCACCATTTTTTCTTCAATTATCATCAGAAACAACCTTGTGACAGCTGCGCAAGTGCAGTACGTCGGGCAAGCCCGCGCTGAGAGCAATTTTGATGCATTTGACACTTCCTTGGAAGCAGTGCACTCAGGCGAAGCAAGAAGCTCCATGCAAAGTTCCGACCTCCGATGTCAGCTTTAGATCCTCCAATGCATGAGTTGCGAGTTTTTTTTTTTTTTTTAAGTCACCGCCACGGACCCGTTGATTGTTTTTTGCCTAGCCCCGGCTCGGGGGCTTAACCCCGGCTCGGGGGCTGGTTGGTTTGGTTGGTTGGTTGGTCGGCTGGGCGCATCCCCAGCATCCCTGGTTACTTGGCGTCAGGGTTGCATATGTGCCGTGATTTGGCAGCAGTTGAGAGTTGCTCGGGTTTAACCGGCCGCATCCCCAGCATCACCGGCCTCGCTCGGACTAGGGCTGCCTGCTAGCTTTGATTTGGTGGCAGTTCAGAGTTGCTCGGGGCTGGTTTGGGGTGAGTGTTAGGCTGCTGAGGTTCTTGATGAGGGCGCGAGCAAGGGCTGATGTCGAGGATGCTGTTGGGAGGGTTTAAGGTTAACTTTGAGTCGGCTTGGTTTGGCTTGGGGCTGATATGCGCTACGTGTGCGGCTCGTTTTTTGCAGTAGCTGTTGGGCTGCTTCAGGGCGTGGTTATGCAAGTTTTGGGCTGGTTTGGGATCGGTTGTGGGGCGTTGCCCCCAACCACCAAACCTAGCCCAAATCAGCCCCAAACCAACCCAAGCTGACTCAAAGTCAACCTTCAACCCTCCCAACAGCATGGTGCGCACTGGTTTAGCAGTGGCTTTAGGGTTGCTTTAGGGATGTGGTTGCGCGAGTTTTGGGCTGGGTTTGATGGTTGGAGGCAACGCCCCACAACCGATCCCAAACCAGCCCAAAAAACATAACCACGCCCTGAAGCAGCCCAGCTACTGCAAAAAACGAGCGGCACACGTAGCGCATATCAGCCCCAAGCCAAACCAAGCCGACTCAAAGTTAACCTTAAACCCTCCCAACAGCATCCTCGAGATCAGCCCTTGGCTTGGCCTAAATGAACCCCAAACAAACCCAAGACCCGCCCTCAATAAGACTTCAGCAAGCCCAACACTCACCCCAAACCAGCCCCGAGCAACTCTGAACAGCCACCAAATCAGCAGTCCGAGCGAGGCCGGTGATGCTGGGGATACGGCCCGAGAGTGAAGCAAGGGTTCCAAGACAACCTCTTTAGAGGCACATGAGGGAGTGCTGAGCCGGGACTAGCAAAAAGCCGGGGCAACTAGTAATAAATTATAAACAATAACTCAACCCACCACCATGAGCCACCATGAACCCAGTAGCGGGTGGCAAGGCGATTTCACCTCGTGGAGCTTTCTCTACAAAGTTGCAAGCATGCTAGGTGGATTGCTTATTGTCTTTTCGGAGCCCCTCACTCCTTCGCCGCATGGCAGTCCAACAAACTACCCGCCAATAGGAGTTTTGAGTGCACCACGTCCCGGCTGCCGTGAGCCGAAAGAAATTTTCTCACCACAGCCCAAAGCCTGTGCCACACAAGGTTCTAGCTGATCAGCGCAGAGCGCAGCAGTCTCCGGATGGAAAAAGGAGACATGCCAACCCACTTCAAGACGTTGAAGGACTTGTTTAAATGCCTCCAGGCCAGAGCAAGGCGTGTTTCGGCGCAGCATTGCGTAAATGCCCAGCAACAGAGGCCACGCGACAGTGACGGAGAGAGGGTGAACAAGCCCACTTAAAGCAAAGCCACAAGCTGATTCGAATAAATCCTTGCAAGTAGCATCGTCGTCATTGGTGTTTTCGTGGCGCGATGCACACCGCTCGGCCAGCGTTGGCACCTAGGTCCTACGCCAATGCTCCCACGCCGTGTGTGAATGGTGTTTGTTGTGCAGCACACACACAGACGGCAGAGTTGCTTGCAACTCAGAGAGAGAGTGAGACAGAGACAGAGAGAGAGAGAGAGAGAGAGAGAGAGAGAGAGAGAGAGAGAGAGTAAGAGAGAGAGAGAGAGAGAGAGCGATGCGGCCACAAGAATTCTTCGGCGAGATTGCGCCTTTGCAGCATGCAGATCCACCGTCCGGCTCAAGGCTTGGCTATTTGGTTGGATCTTTATACTTGAACTTTTTAGCAAAATCCCCGCAAGTCGAACATTTTGCACGGGTTGAGCCATCCGCCGTGTGCAAAGCCACGACGGCCGGGCCCTCCCGCACGGCCGGCAGCCAGCCACGAACGCGGCGACTGCGAGCCGTCAGGCGCGACAAGAAGTCTCACATTCACTTCAGCTGTTTTGAAACGAGGGCCATTTTGTGCAGCCATTTTTCTGAGATTCTAAACAGTTGATCAGTTTAGTGGGTTGCAACGACACACCTTTGCAGGTCTATAGGAAGTTAAAGATGAGCCAAGGTTTCACCCAGGAACCTTTTCGGGCGTCAATCCGATTCCCACTGACCAGAAAGAGGACATGTTTGGCGAGGTATGTTGGGCCTTTAGGGAGCGCGTCGTGCCTGACGGTTCGCACTGACGTGTCCGAAGCATGGACCTACTTCTGTATGAGTTTGAGTAATTATGAGTAATTAGGAAACAGCGTGTGATGCTTGCGTGTCTGTTTTAAGGAACCCAGACTTGGCTTCGGGATGCCTTGCATAACGTGCCGTGACGATCTGGGGTCAAATGATGGCCACTGTCACAAGAGCGGAAAGCAACAACCACGCAAGCAGACAAGAAGAGAAGGTGTTGCTTCCTTGCTGTCGCTTGGATGTAAAGCGGCTTCGGGCATTGTTTGGGCACAGGTGCTCACATGAGCGTGGAAAGCTCAGAGGGCTCCGCATGCTGAAAGGCATTGAAAGGCTTTGCTTTTGTTGGCGATTGGCCTGGAAGTCAAAAAGGATGTTGAGGCGCATTGTGATGCGGAACCCGTCTCACCACGATTACTTTGCCGAACTCGTCCCGGAAGGTTTCCTGCTCTCGCATGAGAAGCCAGTAGGGCATCTTTGAACCTGTGTGAACTTGCGATCCTGGGTTGCAGCAACGGCACAAGGTGAGAGCGACTGGTGGTAACTTGTTTTTTTTCTCTCGTTCTTTGAGAGAGCCCCAACAGGGAAATCTTTGAGGGACCAAATGTGGAATGTAGGCAATATGCATAGAACCTGCCCCAGCTAGCCAACCAGGAAACTGACAACCCGCTCATGGACGACGAAGCGCCGCCAGACATTCGTCCGGCCCTTCCCTGAGCTGCAAATACTTCACGCTTCATTTCAATTCTGTGTGACGGCCTGGGTTCGGTTGGCTCATTCAGATTCAATCAGATTGGTCAGTTGGGACCCCCTTTTGAGTGGCGCACCAAGTGCCAGGCGGGAAGGGATGCGCGGCCCTGAGTCTGGGAATGTGTATCGAGCTCGAACCCTCCGAATTGAATTCCAGGGCTGCCGAAGCCCAGGCCTTTCTTTGTCATGGAAACCCACGGTCTGGGAATACTGAATACTGCAACTACGGTTGTGTTCTGGTATTTCGCTCGTTGGACGCCAGCTCCGTTCCGTTCAGCCACCACGTCCAGCCTGCCTCGAGTGGGGGATGTCCGAATCACGACTCACAGGTGGAGCTCTTCAACGAGCCCACTTTCCGGGCGCCCGGGCTCCTGGTGCATCGGAGCTTTGATTCGGGTTCCGCAAATCTGACGCATCCCTGTTGGAAAAAGCACTCAAGTTTCGGGGGGTCTCTGCCATTTTTGGCAAGACTCCAGCTATGGTTCGAAATGTGCAGGATCCTCTTGGCTGGTGCCTTTCAGTTTGTTGGCATAACCGCTCGGAGAATTTGTACTATAGTCTCATCCTTCAGACCCCCTGTTTAGGCAAATCCTCAGTTGGTGACGGCGTCCTGATGCGTCCTGTATTTCAAAGGCAGGCTGCATGAAACAAACTTGGGGCGAAGCCAGCCAAGCTACGTGCAAGGGGGAAAGCCTAAGCCTTTGCCCGGAGCTGGCAAAAAGCGTCCGATTCGCCGTTGCCACAAAGCTCGGCGGGTCTGTTTCAGATCGGCTTTTGAGGCTCCGGGCTTTAGCTTTGGTCCCCGACGTGGGGGTGCCAAGGGGCGGGGCCCAGAGCGTCCAGAGTTTATGTGCCGACCCAAGCTCTTAAGGTACTCGTAAGGCTGAAGTTCAGGTTTGTCTCTTTTGGTTCTTCCAGGCCGCAGGCATTGCTTGCAGAGCTTCGGGAAGCTGAAACCGGGGCCATAGGGCAGCGAATGCCGAGACTTTCCGGGGTTGGCTGTCATGCTTCAGGATTTCGCGAACTCCGGTTGGGACTTCTCAGGTTTTCGACATGGAGGCGCGCGACGCGAGGCTTGCGATTCCAAGTGTGTTCTGCCCGCTTTCGCCAGGAGGAAAGGGTGGAAGTATGATGGCCTTTGTTGAAGACAAGTTCATCATCAAGGAGCGCCACTTTGCCTGCTGGTTTTCAGAAGTGAACCTAGTGCAGGAGTTGAGCGCCGGCGACCACAAGTCGTTGCTGCACATCGCTCCCCTGTACGGTCGGAGCCTCGTGCTCTAGGATGGGGCCGCCTTGAATTTTGGACCCCCCCCCAAAAAACAGTGGTTTCCCTGTTGGTTTCCCTTCAAAGCAGCCCCAATAGAGGGAACAAGGACACTCCGGAAGAGTGTGGAGGTGCCGTTTTTCAGGGCATCTTGGCGGTTGCAAAGCCATACCCTTGGACCTGGGATGCATGACGATGCATGACGTATCTCACTAAATGCTTAGCTCTCCGCAAAAATTCAAGAGCCACAAGGACACATTGTAGCACACAGAGTTCACAGAGAAACAACACATTGTAGGCCATGAATGGCGCACAATGGCGCACAGCTGCCTCAGCCGTTCCAAGCAAACCTAAAAGAAACAAGACTGCGCATGTTGGCTAAGCAACCAAGCTAGTGTTCAAACGCAGAAACTAGGCCACGCTTTTCAAGCCCTTCCCATTTCTCCCTTCAGCTTCACCTGATTTTCAAGAGATTTGATGCTGAGGCGAGCATGTGATATCTGGGGACACGCTGCCAGATTCTCAGCTATGACTCTGCATGAAGTTGCATCCGAGCGCTTCTCTCGAGGCTGTCCCCAATCTTTCTCCACTTTAGTCTCCTGGCAGCAGGGATGCAGCTCAGAGTGCGCCTCAGACAAATTGTTCGGCCAGGAGACATTGCGACGGGCAAGTTCTTCTTTGCCATGCGGAACAGCATTGGCCAAGGACCGTTCAAAGTGGGGGCCCTGTGTGCAATTCTATGGCTTTGCCATAGCTGGGAATCGGGTTTGGGGACCACTCCCCTTGAAAGCGCAAAAAGTAGTCATCAAGACTGCCCGCTATATGGTATCACAGTGTCACAGGCTTATGTTCCACAGGGCCTCGAATGGATCACAGTTCCTCGCTGGCGCTAGGCATGCTATGACCTGAAGGGTTGCGCAGACGACAAGCTCCTGGAAAAGGAGGGAGCCATCCTCAGCCGCGCTGCTTGTGGGTCATTCTCACCCTGGGAGCAGAGATATACCCTGGATGCCACCTTGAGGCGAGCGCATCCACGCAGTTCACAAGCGGCACCTTGGTTGCAGTGGGAGGGAAAAATGTGCCCTAAGGCTTGTGCCAACTCGATTATGAAGCGGTACCACTAGTAGCAATGATGCACTATGCTTGTGTGTTGAGTAAAGCATTTATGCGCATTCAAGGAAGGGCTGCACGAGGTGTGATGCCAGGTAGCAGGTTCCAGATGAAACCTAGGATTTGGAATGTTGGGATGTGGCTTGGCCGGAGCCTTAGCCGGCCTGAGCCTGTCTTGCGGGTGCGCCCAGCGCCCAAGTGTTGAGGCAAATGGAACTGGAGCTCCGAGCGAAAGCGTCACCTGGCGATGTGTGGGAGGGGAGGGCTGGATTTGCCTTGGGCAACATCTGCGGCCCATTTAATGCGTCCATATGGGTCCTTTGAGTCCGACTCGGTTGGACGTGGGAACTGAGAGGAAACGTCATTCGGAGGGACTCGATTGAAGCTTGGCTCCAGGGCTGTGTAAGCGGCCTCTCAGGCTACTATGCTGGAAAGAAGGAGGCCCAAAGCATGCAAATCGTCGGCGGCCCAGACCTTGTGCGGCAAGCCTGCCCTGCGTTGCTTCCGCATGCCCGCTTGCCTGGGGAGGGGTTGGCCTTGTTTTCATGCTGGTCACATGCACATCATACCTTGGCATCGGAGGCTTCGGCCAGCCCTGGGCAACTGGCAATCCAATGCACGTAGCAACAGACCACAGCTTCAGACAACCCAACAAAAGCATAGAAAAGTAGTAATGCTTCTGTGCTGCACCTGGTATTTCCATCGGATCGATGGTGCGCCTCTCACTAGGCAATTATGCCCGAGCAACGTGCCTCGCTGATTGCGGCGCCGCTTAGCTGCATCTGAGTGGCAGAGTGGAGGCATCGCAGCCCTCGAGCCCCTGTGATGGATCAGTCCGCTGGACAGGTGGCATTTGTTTCAAGTTTGGGTCCATCAAATCAGTTGCCAGATCTATTTTGAAGAAAAGGCACCTCTGAGCGCATTTCATTGTGCAAGGGGGTTTGGTAGCAGCCTATTGGGGTAAGTCAGATGTCAGATGGAGTAGTGTGATTGAACCACAATCCCCCACAATTGATTTAGTCGGATCCTTCTTCATTTGATGTCGCACCACCACCAACAACACCAACAACACCAACGTCACCACCGCTGCCGCCGCTGCCGCCACCGCCGCCACCGCCACCTACCACCAACAACCCACCACCCAAGCAGCATCATCAGCATCAGCATCAGCATATCGCCAGGGGGTGTCGAGAGTGAGAAGTTGGGCTTTCCTGAGTCAGTGCGAGCCATTTTGCTGGCTCACATGGCCCTGCCAGGATGAGGCGCGACACTGCCTTCCTGGTAGGCCAGGGGTGCTTTGCGGAATGTTCTGCTTTAGGCGGCTTTAGGGAAGTACCCCCCCACCCACCATTTAACATGGAACGTGACAGGAGGGCCCTGTAAGAAGATGGCCCATGACGTGGGAGGATAGTTCCTTTGACAACCTCCGCTCCCAAAGGGTACCGGCCATTTTGACACGCAGGCTTCCTGCTTGAGAGCCCTGGCCTCCAGGCCACAACCTGATGGACTACAGCTTTCTTGTAGCCATCAAGGACTGACAGAGTGCGTGGCCCTGTAACCAGCCACAAGCATGCATGGCAAAAGCCCACAACAACAACTGGGGGGGGATCCCCTTGCGCCCAATCATCTCCATAGCTATCCTGGCGCCGTTGACGTTAGGAAGTTTGCGCGTTCTCGCTTGTGCTGCCAGGATTGTGATGCGACGAACGAGGACTGGGTCCTGAAGCCTTACCAGTTGGACACCCAGTTGCGGTGCTGAAGTTCTGGCATGAGGCCCTTTTTTTTTCCGGAGCTCACGGGTGTAGATGACCGGGGCATCCTCGCACGGTGGTATGAGGTCCGATTGGAAGCCGGCCCCCATTTGGCTAAGGCTGCGCACGCCCGAGGGGGAGCCTGCCTCAGAAATAGCACGAGTTTACGTGGTGGCGTCTCTTTCTCTTTTCTTTTTTTGGGCCGGGGGAGGATGGGGCGGGGGGTTGCTTTGTAAGGAAACCAAATGACAACTACAATTCCACATGGAAGGAATGAGCTGGACGAGTCTCAAATTCAGAAAGGAGGGTTTGTTTTTCATGCAAGCGCCTAGGTGTTTGCAGGGTGTCAGTCGCGCGATTAGACAGCATGTGTTTGTTTCTGCAGACTTGGCATATGACTGATTGGCCCTTGCTGAGGATTTGTCCGTGTACGTGTCCATAATCGACTTTCTGCAGGTGTGGACCAATGGCAAGAAAGTCGCAAGGCCTGCTGCAGATGCTCATTGATAGAGGCGAGAGCGCGCAGTCCACGCTTGCGCACTTGCAGGGTCGTGAAAGCCGCCGAGTGCAACAAGGCCGCTGGCTCAGCACTTTGAAACATGTGAATAAATGGCCGTCCTTTGCGCTTTATATCCCTGGAAGACGCCAAGTCTTTGAGCAACCATGTTCGCCCAGCGATGTCTCCGAGGCGACCATCCCGCCCAAGGATTACGGCCACCGCTTCCTGACACACTTCAGCCGCTGCATCCTTGCAGCTGATGACGAGGCGCGGTTTTTCGCCAGCTGGCTGGATGCAGGTGCCACAGCTGTGTCCGCGACATGTGGTCTTTTTTTTCGGCTGTTGGTCCAAACTAACACTCAAACATTGTAATCAGTTTGTGTCTTTGTCCATGCAGTGGTCGAACTTTAAGAAGCCTGGGGTTGGAAGCAGTTCATTGGTTCCGCTGTTGTTTTCCCGGCTTTCCAGTGCTCCTGCTCAGTGCCATATTGTTCAGGGGGGCGTGGAGCGAGTTCCTGCAACTGGGGCCGGGAGCCCAGGTGTCAACTGTCCACTTCTCCCCGGGTCCACACACCCAACAAATCTCCCCTCTCTTCCTTCAATTCTCTATCTCTCTCTATCTCTTTACCTGTTTGTCTATCGATCTATTTGCCTATCTATTTATCTATCGCTACCTCTACCTACCCATCTATAATTATTTCTCTCTGTGTCTATCTATCTACCTATCTATCTGTTTACCAGCCTATCTACTTGTCGATCTATTTCTTGAGCTGTCGATTTATCTCCTGGTCTATCCATTTATTCTTGTGCTTATCTATCCATCTCTTTACTTATCTGTCTATCTCTATCCATCTGCCTATTTATCAATCAATCGGCCTTCTCTTATCTACACATCTCTCTTTCTTTCTATCCATCTATCTATCCATCTACCCACCCATCCATCCATCTATCTCCCTCTCTATCTGTCGATATGTCTTTCTATTTATCTATCTTGCCTTGCATCTGTGCATCTGTCTCGTGATTTGTCAATTTATCTACCTATGTATCTACCTATCTATCTCTCTTTCGTCTATCTATCTAGCTATCTATTTGTCTGTCTATCTATCCTTTTGTCTCTGTCTCTCTCTCTCTCTCTATCTACCTCTCCATCCACTCCACCTGCCCTTTTTTCGCTTTCCCATTTTGTTGTCTATCTGTACATCTATCTTATTTCCGCGTACCTATCTGTATCTATGAATTTCTTACTCAATCTATCTTCATTATGTATGTATTGTCTTTATCTATTTCCCCATTCTTTTCACTAGAGATAAGTCATTCCCTCTTTTCCTGGCGCCTCCCTCAACACCCCGAGGCTACAACGTTTGGACATCGAGCGGCTGGCAGGGCTCTCCCTCTCTCCCTCTCTGTAATAGTCAATTTCTCGTTCAGTTTATCTTTCTATGTGCCCATCTGATCTATCTATCTATCTATCCATCCATCCATCTAGCCGTCTGCTTATCTAACTGTCCAGTCATCTATCTGTCTCTGTCTCCTTTTTTTCCTCACTCTCTCTCTCTCTCTGTCTATCCACTTATCTGCCATCTATCTAGCTATCTATCTACCTACCTACCTATCTATCTATCTATCTATCTATCTATCTATCTATCTATCTATCTATCTATCTATCTATCTATCTATCTATCTATCTATCTACTTCTTTGTCTATCTACATTTTTTTTTTTTTAAAAAAAAATCTACTCTTCAATTGTCTTTTTTATTATTATCTTGCTATCAATTGACTTACTTGCCTCTCTATCTATCTATTTGCTTATTTAGCGATCTTGCGAAAGTGCCAATTCATCACCTGCAAAAGTGCGGCGCCTGCCGCGAAATCTGTACCTCACCTTGCGAAAGTGCTGCGCCTGCCACAAAATCTGCACCTGACCTTGTGACAGTGCCAAACTCATCACCTGCAAAAGTGTTGCGCCTGCTGCGAAAGTGCTGCGCCTGGGATGCAATTGCAACCTTGCAAAGCCTTCGCGTTGCCTTGCCAAGCCAGCCGGGCATGACACAGGGTGTTAAAACCAGCAGAGGTCACTCTTTTCCCGCCCATTCCCTCGCCACACGCCCATTCTTGTTTCCTCGGACGCATGCATCCGTTCCTTATCTTATGTGTGTGCAGAACTAGCCTTCACATAGTGTCCGTGCTACGGAAGTTCCTTCTAAACTTCCTTTCGTATATATATATATATATCAGGATTGTGGACATGTTTTCCGTAACAATCCGTAACAGTGGTAAACAAAACAAGCGCCCCGTCAAATTCAGGGACCCGTCGTGGCAAAGCACCTTTGGTAAATTACATTCCGGCTGTTTCAACCCCACCCCCTAAATAAACAGGGGGATGTATTTGGGGATCCCACCCCCTCCGCCTTAAGGGGTGTTCTGCTCTAGTCGGTCTTTTTTTGGGGGGATGATGGACAAAACCATCTGTTGATTGAGCAAGCGGGTTCAGCCGTGATCCCACTTCGCAGACTGACCCACTAAGGATGAATCTGAGGATGTCTTCCCAGGCGCGGCGGCAGATGAGGCAGGAGAAAGCGCCGTCGAATGCTACGGCCACGCAGAAGTGCATATGTATACCTGAAGAAGCTGTAGGGCCCAAAAACCGGCCGGCAGTTTTGCGCCAGCAACCATCAGCTGCTCTGAACACCCACGTGAATCGCCTTTTGCTTCTCTGAAGTTCCGGTGCAAAACAGTGACCTCCACTGTCAGCCTTTTGCGTACCTGGTTTGTTCGATCTAGTGGCTATTTGGATTCATGCAGCATAACCGTAATTCTCATACCAGCCGCTTGGCCGCTGGCATGTTGGTGACACACTCCTTGCGCAGGTTCCAGCCGAAAGGATATCGAGCCGGCCGAATCCTACGCGCCTTGGCTGGCCACCTCTCAGGGTTTTTGATCATTGCTCGCTTGATCAAAAGTCGCGCGGAGCTCAGGTCGTTTGGCAACGGGAGATCCAAATCGCAAAACAAGACAGCCACAAAATCTTTGTCATCAATTTCCGTAGTTACCATTACGGAGGCAAAGCTTCTGTAGCCAAGTTCTTTGAACGTGATTGCCAACTTTTAATAGCTAGTCTCACCCACCTACCTCCGAACATTGAGTTGCTTAGAGCAGCCTCAAAAAGTCTACAAGCCAGTGTGAATGTCGCCGTTGATTTGGCATGTCAGTTCCTTGAGCTCCAAGAAGCAGACAAAGGTAGCGCTATCTAACCTGGAGTTCTTTCTTGCTTCGCAAGGCAACGATTCCCCAAAGTGGGTTGTAAATTGTTTGGACTGCTTCTATGTAGGTTCAATTCCTACAAACCACCACTGGGTGCAACAATCCGCTTTGCAGCACAACTCGATTTTTTCCCCCAGCTGAAAGCTCGTCTCAGCCCAGATAAGGTTTGAGGGTGGCTTGGGGAAGCTCTGGAGTCAGGTTCGCGCAAGTCTGGTGTAGGCCAGACGTAAGGTTCAAGGCAGGTTCCGGACGTTCCGGGTGGTCTGGTGCAGGCCAGGTGTAAGGTTCAAGGAAGGTTCCGGAGGTTCCGGGGTGGTCTGGTGTAGGCCAGACGTAAGGTTCAAGGCAGGTTCCGGAGGTTCCGGGTGGTGTGGTGCAGGCCGGGCTGGTCTGGTGTAGGCCAGACCGGGGTGGTTTGGTGTAGGCCAGACGTAAGGTTCAAGGCAGGTTCCTGGTGCAGGCCAGGTGTAAGGTTCACGGAAGGTTCCGGAGGTTCCGGGGTGGGCTGGTGCAGGCCAGGTGACTGGCCAGGTGTAAGGTTCAAGGAAAGGTTCCGAGCAGACAAATCCTAGACCTTCAGCGCCTGGCCGTGTGGGATACCACCTGAGCTTTTTATTTGTTTTCCGCTATAGTTTGTGTGACCAGCCCGGGCCTTCCCGATTAGGGCACTTTGGGCAGCAGGCTTTGGCTGGAGACGGTGACGCCGCTGTTATTATACCAGGTTTGGATCAACGCAAACCTTTTGTATGCCAGCCGTGGTGCGGCAATTCTGGGCGGGAGACCTTGCCTAAAGCAGCTAGTGGGAAAGGCAGCGTTGGCTCGTTTGGCAAGCTTGTGTGTAGTTGACTCTTCTTGACGCTTTCCCAGTTGAGGAACTAGTTGGACAGCTTTAGGCTAGTCTATTCCTTCCTCGTGAGTTTGTTGAGCTGTTGGGCAGAGTAAACTGCTCAGTATATTAGCTGGCTACTGAATGAGCAACCAAAGAGTTATTTGTGAGCTAGTTGGTTAGTTGGTTGAACTATCAGATAAGTTGATTTGTAGCAAGGTATCTTGAGTCATATGCAACTTAGTCGCTCAGTCTAATATGCGAATATGTGAACTGATGAGAGATTGAAGAATACTTTGGTCAAATAACGAATTAGCTACGATTAATCGTTTTGGATTATAAACTAGATTTAGCATATTATTAAGCGAGTGGCGGTTTATTTTTCCGCTGAGGCACACATGTATAGATGTTGACGCACAGCAGTCGCGAAAGATTTGCGGAAGGTATTTTCCCCGTGGAAGCTCGCGGAAGTTCTGAAGTATATAAACCATGCTAATTTGTTGAAAACTGCATCTACGTGATTGACGTAATTGTCACAATGGTGAGAAATATGTTTCATTGGTATTCGGACTGTGGTATGTATGCACACATATATAGATAGGGCTTTTATTAGCCTGTTATAGTTTGTATGTTGTTGTCATGGTTGCACCTAAACATGTAGCGCAAAACATATTTTTGAAGATCCGGGACGTGCGTCTCAGGCTGCAGCGAGGGATCGCTATGGTAACGGCTTGGTTGGGATACCCTAGCGAGCCCTTATGCCGGATGGACGTTTTCCGCTTGGGTGCGGTGGGCGGTGGCTAGATTGCAGGGCTCCCAAGTGGCGCATGGGTTTTTGGGCCATGACGCACAAGCTTGTGTCGAGCAGGGTCCCAACCCTGAACCCTTAGTGGCGGAGGCTGTTGTCAGTGGCTGCGAGCATCCCGGCCGTCCCACACACATGTATATTTTTGAGCATTTCTTCGAAGAATCCACGGAGGGGCCCATGTTTTAAGAAACGTTTGTTCGAAACTTTGGACGGCCATGTTACATAAAATTGAGGTTTGGCTAGATTCCGCACTTCAAACCCCTTGTTGTTTTCGGCCATTGCGTTCCTGAACTAACACAGATTTTGTCCAGTTCCGTTGTTTTGCAAGGTTTTGGGATGAACTAATTGGTTGTGTTGGTTGTGGGTGCATCCTTTCAAGGAACGTGTGCAAGGGTCACTGGACATTTGGCTTTCGGGGGAATGGCGTAGCTTGGAAAGGACGCAAACCGCCCTTTTGCCAGCGAGCAGTCAGGGTTCTATTCAATTCACATTACGAGAACGCGTGCATTTTGAGGATTGCTAAAAGTGAAGCAACCAAAAACATTTGAGAACCTGCCCCTTTGCAGACATGAGCGGCGAAGGAACCTAAACGTGGAAGTTGCTCTTGCAGCCGTAAGCGTTTTTGCAAGATTCGTATGCGATCGGAAGGTCCTGCCAAAGCTGCACGCATGAGTCACAAGTCGTAAGCTTTCCACAATCTCTATTTGGTAGCAGTCCGTGCAAGGCTTCTAGATGAAAATGGGATTGGATTGCTGGAGTGGGTTCTTTCGAGCACAAAGTTGAGGAAAGGGGCTCCTTCAGTGAAAAACTTTTCAGGCTCAGACAGTTGCTGTTTATGGTTGGGTTGCTTGTGCAAACCATTTGCTATTTTTCTACCCACAGCGTGTTGGCCAGCTTGAGCATCAAAACAGCTCACGCTTGGAAGGCAATCCTTCGAGCCCCGGAAAGTTTTTGTGGAACCTCGCCTTTGTGATTTTGAAGCCCAAGTCTCCGGCTTGGAAAACGACCTTTTGAGGTCTGGGCTTGGTTTTTGCCACTCTTTTAAAATACGCTTGGGTCTCGGGCTTAGAAAACAGCAACCAAAATCGAACCCAGAAAAGTTGCTTTTGGTTGCGAGGCTCTCCTTTACAGGTAGCAGGTTTTTTTCCACTGCTCACGTGGGGATTTCTGTCCATCCGTATTTTTTGAAGGTGCCCTCTTCACAGCCTTGTTTACATGCCGCCGCCATTGGATGTCCACATAGTTTATCCCCAGTCCACCCCCCACTGCCCCCATTCCACTTGCCGCATGGGCTCCTGCTTGCCGAAATGCGCGAAGAGGAGGCAGTGGCACTGCTGTTCGGGGAAGCCAGCAAGCAGGGCAGAGTATGAACAGGGGAGAAAGACAAATTCTACGGAATCTCCTTGAATCATTTTGCATAGGTAGATGGAAGCGCCGATGCATAGAAGGGTCGACCTTTACTTGTGCCCACTGAAGTGGGTACTCAAAGGTTGATTGGCTTGCGCGCTGGTCAAACAGGGTGCGATGAGCGGATGCCATTCCAAGTTGTTCTCGCAGTCACTTCCAACCAAACACCCACCCTTGTTCGCGGGGTTGCTCTGAACTGAATCGAAAGAATACCAAACACACTGTCGGGTAGACAGCCAGCTTTGCGTTTTTCTTTACCTTCAACTGTTAAGGACCTGCTGTCCACCCTTATGCGCAGAGCTTCTACTGATCACCAGCCACACGTTGCTAGGGGTGGTGTGGTTGGGTGGGGTTGGGGGTTCGGGGGGCGGCCTTGCCTGGAAAGCCCTAAAGCCATGTTGTTATCTTCCATGGATATGGGCTTTGAATCAAGGCCCCTACAATCCATCGACCGTAGGGGGGCTTTCAAACTTTTGTACCTGGCAAGGGTCACTTGCGACTTAGCCCCAGGAGGCCCACTTACTGCCGCAACTGGCAAAACCTACATCCCGACGCCTTCGGTGGGTGCCGCTGCTACTTCTTACAGGCGCCAAGAAGACGCACGTTGTTGGCATGCTGAAAGCTACTAAATTGTTCAACACAGGTTTTGCATTCACCGCTTGCTGATTCCTCTGAACGCTGTCGCTGCGGGTTTCAAGATTGGGTCACCCAAGTTGAAACATTCAGTCAGGGGTCATTTTTTGTGTTTTTTTTTTGGGGGGGGGCAAAGTTGTTCAGTGACGTGGATCTCCCCACATGGTCCTTTTGAAAAAGGAAACCGGTTCCTATCATGTCAGCAGGTGCGAGAGAGTTTCGCCCGTCCTACCCTGGCAGGATTTGCCGTGATGCTGTCTTGGGCACCGCAAGCACCTGTGGATAGTTGGTCGGAGCAGGCAAGGATCCTGCAGAAATTGAGCCATGACTGCATGCCATGACTTGGCTGAGACTTTGTAGACAACCTTTTCCGTACTTTGTTTGATGTTTAATGTATTCTAATGTGCTCTGGATTTCCATTTTCAAACATTTGAAGGAAATCCCAACAGAGACGCCACAATTGCTTAGCAGGCCCTGTTTGCTTTTCAGCTTTGGTACCAACAACAACGCAGTGTTTGCTTGCAGGGACTCGGACTTGGGCCAAGGATCGAATTCCAGAAGGTGCGCGCCCTCACAAACCTCACCCAGGACAGGGTTGCGATTGGGAGAGCTGCTGATTGTGTTCCAATCGCCGGATTGACCCTCGATCGAGCAAAGGTTGCCGAATCCCATTTGAATTGGCCTCTTGTACTAAACAGAAATTGGACCTTTGTTTTGGGGGTGGGGGAGGAGGAATTTATATGACTTGCTTGCGTAGGGATCGGAGAGTCTAGTCAGATATCTGATGCATGGGATTTTTCAAGATCCTCTCGTACAGCGATCCTGTCAAGATCCCGCAAAAGGATCCTGCGCAGAGATGCGCAGGACCTTTGCTAAAGATAAAATCCTGCTAGGCTTTCACAGCCCTGGTTTTCGCCGAGATGCACTGCTTCAGCATGAACTCAAAACATCTAGCCAAGTTGACCAGTCGGAAAATAAATGCCCTGGACCAGCAAGGTGTGAAGAGGGTTGTGCAAGCAAAATCAAACTGAGCAACGTACCACAA